AGGGGCATTTAGGGACAGAGCCACACAGCAGAGACCAACTTCACAAAAAGGGCTCAATATTGATTTCTAGACAGGAACAGGGCATGGTCAGCTCAAATTTGGTGATAACATCAGGATGAAGGACACCTAGCTTCCCAATGCTTTGACCCCGGGCAAAGATTTCAGCACACCACCCAGGGAAGAATGCAGAACCTGAAACAGAGAGGGAGAAAAATCAATGTTTCTTCTGGGGAAAAAAAGAAGCCAATAGCCATTTAACACTAAAAGCCTGCGGGTCTCCTTTAAAAATAACCATTCTTCTTTAAGTCACTGGCTATGAAAGTGCACCCTCACACCTTCTAGTATTAAGAAGCACTTACTGTGTTACACCAAGGAACTCCTGCAAGGAAAAAAACAATCAAGAACAAATCCGAAAATGAGAACCCTATACTTCTGATCATGGGGGCTGAGCTGGGAGGAAGCTGCAGCACTGCTACCAGAGTCTTAGGGCAACTAAGTCCCCAAAAGGACACAGGGACCAAAAGGAAAATGATGAGCCTGCATGGATGGAGCAGGCTGGGAAGCAGGCTCCCCACATCAGTACCTGCTGGATAAGAAATCTACTACAGCACCACTCACTCCTTACCATGTCACTCTTCACTGTATTACACAGGAAACCCACAATGAATACCCCTGCCACAGGGACCTGCACATGTGATTACAGGCCACATCGCCAGAATGCAACCCGTGTCCCTGACTGAAAAGAGCCCCCTAAGCATACTGGAATATCGCCTGTAAAGTCCCAGTGAAAGCCCACCCCATGCCAGCGCCCTGTAAAGCCTCAGTGAAGGCCCACCCCATGCCAGCCCCACACCAATCCTAGCTGATTCCTGTTTTACTTCAAGAAAGCCAGAGCTTTCTTCATCTGATCCAGAGCACTGCTCCATCTTCCCACCCAGTAACCATTCTTGAGGCTTAATCAGCTGCAAGTGAACCAACAAGCCCGGAGGCCCACTCCTTAGCCACTAAATTACCAGTGCCACAGAAGGCTTATCAACACGCCGGACTCTGCTCTAGTTTAAAAACAATGCTGATTCATTTCTCTCAACACCCACTTGAAAAGGGATCAGGCCCAAGGCTCCTGAAAGATTCAAGCATAATGTTTACTGGCTTGAACTATAAATACCCAGCAGAGCTGGGCCACAAGCCTGCAGTCTGCCACTGAGTGAGTGCATTATTTATGGGGGTACAAACTGCTGCATATCTAATAGCTCCAAGGTCAGCATAATTAAGAACACAGAATTGGATGGGTGGATAGGGAATCTGCTACTGTTGAGTTGATGCCATAGAGACAGACTGCACAGACTTCCCAATCGATGTGGAGAGATACTGGTTTCTATTCTCAGGAAAGAACGGGAAAACATTTTTGTCATTCTTAACCTCAAAGCAACATGGCTATAGATTTCTTTCTTCACATCTCATCAAACTCAGTGGCTCTGCTTCAGAGTCGAAGCAAGCATTTAAAGTGCTGCAGTTGGCTCTGTGCACTAAGCCACACCCAGGACTCGGTGAGGAAAATAACGGTATTAAACAACTCAGGAACGAAACTGGATAGATAACAGTAGTCTGGCAGGGATAGTAATTATGGTTAAATCTGATAAAGATGGCATACTTTCATACTTTCGAAATGAAAATATAACTTAAAAGACAACATTACCCATTAGTAAAAAAAAAAAAAAAAAAAAGAAAAAACAAGACAAGACTGTGAACTACACCCAACAACAGGAGAAACAGGAGGCAGGGAAGGAGGTTAGCTGTCTTAAAGGCAGAATGAAAAGGACTTTTCAAATGACAAGCCAAGGACCTTGTAGTGTACTCAGCGCCCCTGAGCTAGGGCGAGCCCAGACCCCACGCTCCCCTTCCCGGAGACAGGGCTGTGAGCACACACAGGCACTACCTGACAAGGACTCTGGCCTGTCAGAGAGGCCACCAGGAAAGGAAATGCCCAAGACCTTCCCAACAGCCTTGCTGTAACGAAAGATTTCCTTTTATCTATTTTCCATTCCAATTTGATTGGATTCATTTTTACTGAAGCATAAAACCAAACGATTTCAGAATCTAAGCCAGATGTGCTGGCTCTGACAATGTTAGCAAAATAAAGCCTCAGATAAGAAATCACAATTTTTACCTCATATAACATTTTGATTCAGCATTTTTTAAGTAAAATTCAGTTATATTCTTCTTCAGTTGCCAGGGTTACCTTGCCTACAAATTTGGGCCAAACTTTGCTTTAGTTCATTAATCAACTAGGTATATAGTAACAAAAATATTTATACTAGTAAATTATTTCAGAGAAAAACAAAGAAAATTCATATTCAAGGCTATGTAACATGTTCCAAAGCAAGAGTATAAAAAGTGATTAAAATGTCTGAAGTTCACGCTTTCACATGGGCTCGAAGTCACAACTGCTGTTCAAAGGTGAGCCCAGGATGGGATCCCTATAGCCATGAGCTCAGTTTGGCCATACCACACACCTGGACTCGTGAGGATAACTCTGTCTTGCACCACCATTTTCTCACTTCTAACCAGTCAGATGATGGCATAAACACCTACCAATGAGTCTCACGTTTCCTGTTCAATTAGAACAAACTGAGGTTCTGTTCTCCAAATACACAAACTGAAAAGCATGCAAAAAGGGCCTCTGAGAGGCAGTGAGACCCTTAAGAAACAAACCCTCCACTTGACTGATGGTACAGATGACTGGAAATGTTGGCGGTGCGTGCGTGAAGTAAAATTACAAAAACAGAAACATTCGCAATACTTTAAAACTTAGAACAGAGCAAACCAAACTCCAAGAACAGAATTTCCTCACTAAAAAAACACAGGGCCAGAGCCCACAGTAAGGGTCCAAGGCCTTCTAGATGTAAGGATGTTGTCAATGGAAAAGATCATAGCTCTCAACTTAAAGGGAATAAGAGACAGTTTATTCTGGAGCTTTTTTAGTGACCATTGCCTAGGAACACAGATTTAGGTTAAATTCCATGTTCTAATGCAGAAGTAGTTTCATGGGGCTTTTATAGTTTTATACAACAAAGAAAGACATAAATCAAGGCCAAATTTAAAATGCATTGGTAGGTATGTATATCAGAGAAGCAGGTATGTCAAGAGATGGGGAAAGCTTTTCAATAAGCCTAAAATATTATCTGAGAACATTCTTAGCTTTTGGTGGGACCTAGTGTCCTGTTAACAGCTTTTATGAGGTTTTTATTTATTATCCTGAGATGCTAGTTCAGAAGCAGAGTTAGCTAAGGCATGGCTGCTCCAGAAGGCTAACACTAACTCAAGACAAATTAATTAGTTAGCCTGTGAACCTACAAAATCCCAATCTCTTCACACTATTGAAATTCCAATTGGTCCAGCAGTCTCTGCAGACACACAAACTCCTTGCAGGAATTTCTTTTTGCTTACAGCCATTCTGTTTCTTTCAGGAATTTGTTCACAATGTCCACTGCTGGTCAAAGAGGTGGTTCACTCAGCTCAGTACCCTGACAGATGGATGTGACCCAAAAGCTCCCGCTAGAACTAATACATCATAAAGTCTGTCTGAAAACAAATGACATCATATCCGAAGGCCACAGCCTCGGCTTTCAGAAAATCAGACCTGAACTGCAGCCAAAGCTGCCTCTATCAAATCACAAACAAAAATGTATCTCGGGAGACGAGGCAACATGCTGTGTCTACAGAAAGGACTGCCCATGCCTTGTGGACAGGAACTAAGATTCAGACTCTAGAGTCCCTTCACTCTCTCCCACTGAGGAAGAGCACAGAAAGAACGGTGCAGCACACCAACTCCTATCTGTATCTGCATGAGGTCCATGCCACGAGAAACTCAAGGTTTTTCATGAATCCTAGCCCAGTTATTGGAGTCTAAGGCAGAACACACTTTGGGAAAATGTTGCTCTCTATTGCAACACACGTGAGAGCCCAGACAAAAGAAACACCAGTTAGACACAAAGAAGAGCTTAATTTCCCAAACTTAGTGGGGTGTGAATAAGCCCCTTAATTAAAGTCTTTGTGTCCTTGGGGTCATCCCTGGGCCCATAATCTAGCACAGCACCCCGTCTTTAGCATGTTTTCTGGCTAACTGACCATCAAAGCGTTTGGGAGTTCCTTCTCTTGCCCGTTGCCAAACACTTTTCACAGTTCCAGTTTGCTCCCATCTTTAGAGCTGCATTATATATAGCCTAGAGCTGGCAGAAGCTTCCCATACACTCACTCGTTTCTTTACTTTCATGAAGCATCGGGAGTACAAGCTTTGGTGGTAACTGAGCAGATAGACCCCTCATCTGAAAGCACCAGGGTGTGGGAAGGGGGAGGTGTGTGTGGTGTGTGTGTGAGTGTATGTATGTGTGAGTGTGTATGTGTGTGGTGTGTATGTGGGTGTGTGTGGGGGGGGGTGTATGTGTGTGGAAGGTTAGGGTGTGTGTGGTGTGTGAGTGTGAGTGTGTTAGTGTGTGTGGGGTGTGTATGTGTTTGGTGTGTGTGTGGGGTGAGTGTGTGAGTGTGTGTGTATGAGCACGTGTGAGTGTGTGTGAGTGTGTGTATGTGGGGTGTGGGGGGTAAGTGTGAGTGTGTAAGTGTGAGTGTGTATGTGTGTGGTGTGTATGTGGGGTGTGTGTATGTGGGGGTGTGTGTGTGTGGGAGGTGAGGGTGTGTGTGGTGTGTGAGTGAGTGTGGGGTGTGTATGTGTGTGGTGTGTATGTGGGGTGAGTGTGTGTGTATGAGCACGTGTGAGTGTGTGTGTGTATGTGGGGTGGGGGGGTGAGTGTGAGTGTGTGTGTGTGTGTGTGTGTGTGTGCGCGCGCCCAGACATTACAAGCACGAGGCCCTCATCTCACACTCCCGCCACTTGCTGGAGCCAGATTACTCCTTAACACTTTCCGTCAATGCTCTGAAATATCAGCTGCTCATTTAACTTTACTCTTCCCTTTCTTTATATTGCCAATATATATACTTTGAGATTCAAACTCATGGGGTATTTTATTATCCAAATGTAAAAAAAAGAAGAAAGAACATCATCATCAACAACAACAAACAATGAAATTAACAGGGTAGAGAAGACTGGTAAAGTACTGTGCTGTTGCTAATAACAGAGATCACCCTCAATAGCTTTCACCACACACACCCCCAAATTCAGGATGAAATGGAAAATGTATAACGGCAGATGCCAACTGAATCTGTCTTAAGTCTCTTCAAAATGACTGATTATGTAATAAGGGTAAAAGAAAAACAGTCAACAGTCTAACAACTTTGGGGCTGGTGCCTATCCCAACCCTACACACTTCTCAAAGGATAAGTAAATAAATAAGTAAACAAATACATCCTACTCAATTATACCCTCTATGAACACACAATTTCATTCTTAAGGGACCATTGTTCTGAGGTTTTAGAACAAGCAGATTTTTTGAGGACACAACAGAATCACACAAGAGGGAAAGAAGTTCATCATAGGTCAGGTGTTAACTTGTAAAAGAAAAGGCTCCAGGGTTCTAAGGAGCCAAAGCATCACAGCCAAGATATGAACACAAAAACATTTTTTTTTCTGATCTCAGTACACTCAGGAGAAAATGCCTCTGTAAAGACCATTAAATTTGTAAGGGGAGACTGAATAATTTCCGACTGGTAATATAAAACACCCATTTTCTACCAGATGTATACAATTCTTCACCTTGCATTTGAAGTGAATATTTATGGTACCTAAAGTCTATAAAGAGAGGGGACCTAATCCTTTGAATTTAATGACCATCTTTCATCCCTTTCTGAAGATCAAAAGAAAGAAAAACCCCTTACACAACTTTACAGTGCTAATCCCAACACACCTGCAGACACCATTAACTCTTACAGGGAAGCAGTGGGACTAGAGAGAATTGGAACTTACCAACTCATGGCTTGGGGAGGGCACCAGGATCAAAACCTGGCACCATATACTCTACCACAAATGAGGACAGGGACTCTTACAAGAAATCAGCAAAACCCAGATGACCTCGTCTTCTCACAGAGAAATGTCCTTAACAGAGAAGCATCTTTTGTCAGGCATGGTGGTTTACACCTGCCTTCACTTAGGAAGCAAAGTCTGGACTCCTCAGTGGACACTGTCAGAGGAATATAGCCTGCTTTCGCTCACTAAAATCTTCTTATAATGAAATATTTCAAATTATAGCACCAAATCCAGTTTTTGCTCTCATGGCTGCTACTTCCTAAGAGTTAATGAACAGAGGGGAAAGGGGCTGCATCCTCCTATCGGGTCAGCTCCTCTCATCCCCCAATGGGAGTGAGAGGTCTCAGAGTGTTGAACTGGCCAAACCCCTTGTGCAATGCAAGTTACAGATGGGAAGAAGAGAAGCACTAGGAGATTAGGAACCTTGCCCAAGGCAAGCAATAATATAGGCTAGAAAGCAAGCCAAAGGTGAAGAAGGGCCATGGCACATGAGGCTGCAGCAGGATGCTTGTAAGCTGCTGGCCAAGCTGCCCACCAACTTGTATTTGCAAACTTCCTCTGGCTTATGATAAATAAGTGCAGTTTAAAGAGGGAACAGAGCAGGCTGACAGTTTGTTACCTTTAAACTAGGCACATAACCCAGGTACACTCTGTGATGCTATTAATACCACACAATACTAGCAACACTGCAACCACAGAATACAACCCACATTTGGGGAAATAAAATTACATTAAAAACACTTATCTTTAAAATCTGTAAATGAGTGTTTTACCTGCATATATGTAGGGACACCATATTCATGCCTCAGAGGTCAGGAGAGTTACGGAGGGTTCTGAGTCACCTTTGTGGATGCTAGGAAACGAACCTAGGTTCTCCAGAAGAGTAGCAAGTGCTCTTAAACGCTGAGCCATCTCTCCTACCCCAGAAGTGCATTTTTTAAAGGCCTCACATAACAAAGAATCTTTAGGGAATACAGTTGAGTCTTAAATCAAGGCTAGCACTACAGACACACCGTGTAAAGTGTAGGCGGGCAGGAAAGGAGCAGTGCACCAGAGCCAACAGCAGAGGCTCATTCTGAGCTCAACTACAGATCTTAGAACTGGAAACAGCCCTGCAGACCACCTGCCTGTCCTACAGCTCACACAGGAGGAGAGAATCCGACATCAAGTAAACCACAGATTCCAGACTAGAATCCAGGTCCTAAATCCTGGCCAGAAGTCCTCCCTCTCATCCAGGGCTGCTTTTTCTGATGGCAGACCTAAAATCTCTTAAGTTTACTCCGATGAGTAATTTGCACATCTCTGATACCCTCATCCGTTTCTTCTTTTCCCAATAAGACTATGGTGCAGACAGGACACACACTTGTCATTTTACAAAAAAAGTAGCTAACAAAATTCTTTGAATTCAACAACACCACTTTAGTCCCAGCTACTTGAGAGACTGAGGCAGGAAGAGTCTAAGTCCAGCCTGAGCTGTAACAGTGAAGACCTACCTAAAAGTAAGTAAGTTAAAAGCCCCTAACTCCATGGTAAAGGTGAAAATACATGGCAATATCCAGTGTTGTTTTACTATGCCATAGCTGGTGGTGGTCCTGCATCCTAGGGCTAATAAGCAGTACATTGTACTGTTTTCATTTTACGCTTTCATTTATTTTGTAGGGGTGCACACCTGTGTGCCTGTGCACTATGTGCAGGTCAGAGAACTTGCTGAAGTGGGTTCTCTCCTTCTACCATGTGGCTCCTGAGGATCGAACTCAAGACTGTAAGCTTTACCCACTGGCCCAAGCAATGCATTATTATTATTTTAATTACATTTCCAATTTTGTTTACAGTCACATGTTTAAAAACATTTTTGTCATGCTTACACATCACAGTTTGCCAAATAATTCTTTAAGTACTTTATATTATATTAGAGTTTATTTACTATTGTAAATGGGCTTCTATAAACATGTATCGCTTGCTGCTCTTTCTTAAGTTTCCCCAAAGTTGTAGTATATAAGTAAAAGAAAATTCAAAACAAAAAATGAACCACTGCCCAAATTCACAATAAAATATATATTTCTCTTTTTTAAACAAAGCAGATTTTGAATTAATACAATTTTAAAAATTGGAATAAAAGTAGTTATAAAGGTTTCTAGAATGTAGCTTGTTAAATATCTTTGTGCATATACACACACATGCATATATATATATATATGAAACTTCTGAAGGTAGAGGTGGAAGGATCAGGATTTTAAGGCCAGCCTCAGCTATTAAGGAGTCTGAGGTACAAGATCCTGTCTCAATGTCCTCTAAAAATGTGAACAGCGATCTTTATCAACTTTCTAGTTTCCTAAATAAACTAGGCCAGATAAGCTACTAGAGTCTGGGCAGTGGGATCACCAAAGCAATCCCTCCTTTGAGTAAGGAGGAGACAAACAAAGAGGTGCTGGGACTACAGAATGACTCTACTTTGTTGAGGGGAAATGGCAGAAGCTACATTCCAAGAGAAGGAAGGTGGTCCAAATGTCTTGCTCTCAACAAATCCTTTGGATGAGGAATTGGTCTGTTAGTAAAGTGCTCTGGAAAAGAGATGAGGATGCTAACATTTGCTAGAGCTCCAGCGTAAACACCAGGGGACCTGTGCACAAGTTGCCAACTGAATGCAAACTACATTCATGAAACTGTTTCAGAACTCCCAGCTCAGATTTAGGCCTCCTTGGCTATAGCATAAACACTATTCATAATCTCTCTGACTACATATTACATGTGCAGGAAATCTGAAAGTCACAGGTTAAATATGTAATTGAAAAATAAGGTCTCATCTCAGTTTAAATTCCACTTTAATTATGAATAAACTTATTTTTAATGCTGAGAAAAGGGACTTTTAATGGTCTGAGATGGATATAGCTGATTAAAAATATCATGATATTAACTCTGGTGTGTGTGTGTGTGTGTGTATTTGCAAATTTATTGAAATACTTCTCAAGAAAGAAGCTGAATATTGGAGGCCTTTATAAATGAACCAGGGGCTTCTAACAAGCTATGTAATGCTAGGAACCTGTGCCCTTTACTCTGGTATGGGTCGGATCTTTACTCTAATTCCTACCTACTTTCAGTATAATCATGTTTCTTTTTGTACCTATATCCAATTTGACTGAGGACCTTTAAAAGTTATTTTATCTTTTAAACATTCAAATTGAATGTGATCATAAGATACTGTCCCCTCAATCTCTTCATGAATTTCAAAAAGCATTATCAATAAAATACGGTAAATTTGGGAAGCTAATTAGTACAATTTAACAAAAATCACAGTAATAACTGCAAATAAATACAAACAACCTACATAGCACTCTGTGAGAAAGATGGAACCCAGTCTTCATTACTGTGGTCAGAGTAAACAGCAAATGTCTGGGAGACTGGAATGTGATGCCAAAGGGAACATGGGGACTCCTTTCTGAACTCCGAATGTGAGAAACTTCCCAACTTAGAAAGTCAGATTCCAGAAGGAAAGAAATGAGTGAATGACTATATGATATTTAAAAATTTACATAAATGAGAAAATATGATCACATTTGTTCATACAAGGAAGATTCAGGTAAAATGTCAGTGAGATACCATTTCCCATCTATGAGACTGGAAACAGAATGAAAACAAACAAACAAACTATAGGACCTACAATTTAGTGTAAACAAGGCCTTCTCATCTGCTGCACCTACAGTATGAGAATCAAAGGTCTAAAAAGTGTAAATACCAATGTGTCCTTGGTCCCAATAACTCCACACTTGTAGGAATCTGTTCCCAGACCTCCCACAAAAATAAGTAAATAAGAAATGTAGTAGAGGGATCAGTAGTTTAAGACCATCAGTCTAAGCAACAAGTTCAAGGCCAACCTAGGCTATGAGACCTGTCTCAAAATCAAAACCATGCAACATTAAACAAAATAAAACAAAAGCCAAACTTTTCAGCAAGTACTTTTTAAGTTTGACTTCCAAACTACAAGGTTAGCATGGTGGAGTATTATCTACCCATAAGGAAGACTGGAATTGATCACCAGAAAATGGATTGGACCTCGTTTTTTTTGTTGTTGTTTGTTTTTTGTTTTGTTTTGTTTTTCAAGACAGGGCTTCTCTGTATTGTTTTGGAGCCTGTTCTGGAACTTGCTCGGTAGACCAGGCTAGCCTCGAACTCGCAAAGATCCACCTGCCTCTGCCTCCCGAGTACTGGGATTAAAGGCGTGCCCCACAACGCCTGGCTGGTGACCCTCGTTTCAAGTGAAACAAACAAGACTAAGTAAGACAAATGCTGCATCTAGCTTTTATGAAAGATCAAAGTACTTTGTGTAATGTACATATATGGAAGTCTCACAAGGATGCATATTATAGTATATAAATAACCAACACAATTTTAAAAGTTTAAATTTGTTTGGTCAATGTTAACCCTTCACTGAACAAATAAAAGTTGCTTACTTACTTAGTATGTAACAGACTCTAGGTTTGATCCCAGTGGTGCACACACCCACATATATAAAATTAAGTTTTATAGATTTTTATATACACTGCTATGCATATAGCACATAAGTGATACATAGCATATCTGCAGTATTAAAATTTAATCTAAGGGCAATTAAGAAAAAAGTGTCTGTCTATTAGCTGGGGAGACTAGAAGGTATTCTTGAAGAAGAGAACCGCCTGCCATGAGGATGGGGAGTCCGTTCTGGGTAGATCTGAGCAGAACCACTTCCTGCTGCTCTCTTCTTTGTCTGGGGAGAGTAAAGAAAATCCATCAGCCATGGATTCACTTTCTCCCTTAGGGATCAGGGTATGAACGCTGGGGAGTTGAAACAGCTCCCTTCACTAAGTACCGCTACTGAACCAGCTCCCTCCTGAGAGCCTGGGACCTGCTAAAGGGAGGCTTTTAACATCTTCAGGAAGAGTACTTCTGACAAAGGCCTGAGAGGACCCTCCTTGTTAACAGAAAAGAGCTGTGTGCTATGTATCTCTGTGTCATACATAGGAGCTGGCCTAAGCAGAGGATAAATAAACACTTCTGAGAATGTCTAAAAAAAGGTCTTTAGTGGATATAGTCATACTAACACCACCACCACAAAGGTCGCCATACTGTGTTACAACTGTATCAGAACACACTCAGTGTGGGAAAACACAAAGACAGTTAGTAAGTGTCAGTGAGTGGGGAGACCATTTCCTTACACACAGAAGTGAAGCAGTGACAATGAACATGCATTCACAAGTAAGACAGGCTGAGTGAATCACAAGGTAGGTGCTAGGGCTTCTGGGGTGCCCTGCAGCCCTGCTGTCTCTCCCCTCCCCCAGTCTTTCACCACTTCAAAGCAAACGAACAGTGCAGTACTGGGAGGTCTCAACCACAGAAGAGGTCCTCTTTGTCATAAGGTCCCAAGCTCCCAAACTTTTTAAACAAAGTCGAGGCCTTAGCAGAATAGTCTTTGCTGAAGGTACTGAGTTGGATATTCTCTTTAGAACACCTATATTATACTACAGGATGCTCTGTATAAACCAAACCATAAACTGAAACCTTTACTTCAACAATGAGTTTCCTAGCTCATATTACACGAAGACAGAGTGACAAGGGAAACGATTTCGCCCATGTAGTTTAGCATCAGAGATCTTTCGAAGGTGTCCTGAGAGGGGAATAAGGTCATGACCTCAGGTCAAGTCAATGACCACTAGGTGTTACTGTAACAGAAGGTGCCTAATAACCAGGGTGAGTACATATGGTATTGGGCTAAATGCGGGCAGGACAAGGTCATTTTTCTTTTCCTGAAATGAGTTCTGAGCAACATGAAAACTAGAGCTGTGAAATCTGTCTGTTCATCCAGGATCTTATCTCAAGTTAAACTGAACTTTCTGCAGAATTATATAAAACAAACAAACAAACAAAACAAAATCAAAACTGAACTAGGTAACCAGCTGAGGAGGAAAAAACACATGCAACTCAATGAGCCAGTCACAAACAAAGCCCAACACATTCTAAAGAAATTATTTTTGCTCAGCAACCACATTACTGTTCTAAACACAAAAATGCTGAGAATTTTCCTGGCCCACAAATGTTTTTTTTAAAGGCTAAGTGCATCTTAACATACATAATTTAGTTTGCAACAAACCACAGAAATGAAGGGAAAGCTGAAAAAAATGAAACATATATTTGCTATGATGATCTGATCAAATGCCCCTAAAACACTCTCTACTGAACTTTTGAAACCCTTAAAATACTCTGCAGTCTGCTAACAAGTTAAAGGTTCCTTTTTTCCTTTTCATGCAACTTGACCCCATTCTATCATCAATTTGACAATCTAGATCACTGTATGGTCTTAAATTGCAAAGGTGCTTAGAAAGTGAAAACTGTACGGTTAGCTTTCCCTCTGGCTGCAGTCACTGCCTTCAGAAAGCTGCTGTGGATGCCTGAGCAGCAGAGAGCTGCTCCTACATGATCAGCACAGTTACAGTCTAATGTCAACACCTTCCTCGGGATCCATGTGATGATCAGCCAGATGAATTTCTAGATTTCTCTCACATAATGGGCAGGGCCAAGGTTCTTATAGGAAGATTACATTCCTCTCTACTTACCCTCGCAGCAAAGCAGCAGAGAGGACGCTTGATGGCAAGCATTAAGAGCCAGAAAGAGATAAGGCCCAACTGATGTGAGCAAGAAACTCTGCTAAACAGACTAAGCTAAAATATAACTGCAAAGCCACTAGGGATCTTTAATTATTAAAAAGTAAACCATAAGCTGGAATAACAGAAGACAGCTCAGTATTCAAAAGTGGCATGAAACAGAAGTTCTTATTTTGTCTGTACTTGCCCTCCTCTGAAAACCATGTCCTAACACACATATTCTTTCCTACTGTGTGCATATATGTAAAATAACAGTAAGCTTGAAGAAAAGATATAGCTAAAAACATACTAACAACTAAATCCCTGTGCTAACAGACTGACTCAGGAGTCTGGAAGACAGTTTTTGTTCCTTAGTTGTGGTATATATGCATACATATCAGAGGGACAAATCCTGGCTTTCTGCTAACTTATTTTGACAAGCCATGTATTCAGACCTTGATTTTTCTGACCATAAAAAAAGACAATCATATTTGTCATTCAATAATCAAAACCGACTAAGAAATCCTTACGAAAAATGAAGAATAGGTGGGCAAGGAAATTTATAATGACACTAATTGTCCTTGGCTTGACAGCTCTTACAAAAAACACCCTATGAAAAAAGCACCCAGGAACTAGGCACATGCCCCAAAATCCAGGGAGCTGGATATAGTCACTGATGGTGATGGGAAACAAAAGTAATTTCCCTCTTCTCTGCAAAGAAATCCAGTTGAATACATTAGAAAATACCGATCAAGGCTACCCATGTGTAAAAGTTCTGTCAAAGCTTTTCAAAGTCATAAAAATTTTAAAACACTGGTATTGGACAGCCAAATATAGATTCAAAAAGAGAATTAAACCTTAAACTTAAATACTTATATAAAAAAACAAAGTAATAGGCCGGGCGGTGGTGGTGCATGCCTTTAATCCCAGCACTAGGGAGGCAGAGGCAGGAGGATCGCTGTGAGTTCGAGGCCAGGCTGGACCGACAGTCTCCAAAACAATACAGAGAAACCCTGTCTCGTAAAAACAAAAACAAAAAAAACAAACAAAAAAAAAAAAAACCAAAGTAATGGGTGTGGTTGCTCCAGTCAATCATCTCTGCACTCAGGAGGCAAAGGAGAAAGGACAAAGGGAAAAAAAAAAAGGAAGGCAAGTTTAGCCTAACCAGGCAGATCCTGCATCAAAAAGCCAAGGGCTAAGGGTATATGTAGCTCAGTGGTGGAAAGTTTACTAAAACTGCCCAAGGTCTCCAGCACTGAAAAGTAGAGGGGGGGGAAGGGTAACAATTTACACATAAAGATCTACAAGTAATTAAGAAAGTTAGAATCACTGGGTGGGTGTGGTAGCACATGCTTTTAATCCTAGATTCAAACAGGAGGCAGAAGCAGACCAGTCTCTGTGAGTTCAAGCCAGACTGGTCTACATAGTGAGGTAAGAGTTACATGGCGAAACTGTCTCAAAAAATGAAAGGGGAAGGGGGATGTATTTTGTAATTTAAAAACAATTCAGGGCCAAAATAGCAGATTATTTGCTACTGGGGAAGTTAGATGTTAATAAGTTCTCTATTGTTTAAACTTTAATATCCACAGGATTCAAATTACTCCGTTTGAAATTACAAACGTTCAATTTTTAGATCATCACTTACTGACTATGTCATACACGGCTCTCAGTGGTATGGACTGTGAAATCTCCAGGGCACTCGCCCATCGGTCTTCCTACTCACAGGGGAGCACTGGTCTCACTCTTCTCCAGCGCCCGGCAATGCCTTCCCTCCATTCATTTACACCACTGTTCTTCACGCCTCCCCGCCCATGGGCATTAATCCCAGCGAAGTACGGACCGATTGCCACTCACCTGCTTCAAAAGAAGCAGCGGCTTCCACCCTTCCCCTCTAGGTAGCTGAAGCCACTTGCCAGCATTCAGAACTCCTTCCACAGCTCGCAGTCAAACAAATGGCATTCTACTCTCACCACCCTACAGTACCTGCCTTTCCATTTGTCTAAGGGCTCTGTTGGGCAGTCTCCAGATCCACCTATTCTTTCAAAGACCCTATCACTTCCCACAAACTCACCAATGTTTTAATTTTGGAGGAGATTTTAGACGGTAAGCTGCTGATTGAGCATGTAAGAGCCCTGGAAGCAACTAGTAGAAAAGCCTGGGTTTGACATGACTAACCAGGGCCAATTCATATAGGTTGTCTTTCTTTAATTCCTTCACTTGTAAAGCCCAAATGTTACACTAGATAGATTCTAAGATCCAGTCTGGACTCTATTCTGTGAGCATAACTCATTTTCACTGTGTCATCTCCAATGAGAATTGTAGAAAAATGTCTAATGCCTTCTACTATTAAACATCTCAATTTATTTGAGCAAATAACCCAACATAACTATATATTTCAAAGCTATTTTCAAAAAATGGTTCAAAATGAAAAACAAGCCATAAAAAAATCTCTGAGGATTAAGAAAAATAAATATAAGCAAACCCCCAAAATTTCTACTCACCAAATCTCACTATAAATAACACTGCTAAATAACTTAAAAATGAAAGTTCTGGTAGAAATTTAGGATACCAAATGCAGACATTAAAAAACAGCAGGAATGAGTAGTAAGAATATTTTGCTTCAATTGTTTTTAGATCTCTTGTCAAAGAAAATAAACTTAGATTCAAGCTACAGTACAACAAAAAGCAAAAGCTTCAGACCTCCTCACACAAGGAAAAACGTTAGGGACACACAAAGCATTTAGCTGGCCTGAATTAAAGCCAGAGACTGGCCTGGGCTTTTGGACAGTGGATCCCACCTTGCACCTTAAGAGTTAAGTTTTCACAATCGTTTTCTTTTTGCCTTGCCTCAAGCTTCAGACACACAGACTGCATTTCAGGTCACCTGAACTTGTAGCGTGGGCTTTCCAGCTAACCAGTGCTGGGGCATAATGGTGACATGGGGGTTACCACAGCTCAGCTATGCAGAAGCAACACTGTACAGTTCCTAACAGTTCTGAAAAACAACCTCTTGAGGTGCTGGAGGAAAAGGGAATATTTTCTAGCAAATACTAACAATTAATTGGAATAAAGTTCTCTCTCCTTTACCGCCCACGCTGTCTAAATCAAAAACAAAATGAAGCAAACAGAACTTTATCAAAACCAGGATGTGGCCTTTCATCATGTTTCCCCAACCCTGGCATCTTACCTGTCGATGCTTTGATCACATAGCCCCCCTTCTCCTCACTAGGAGGTACATCGAGCAGCTGCATAACTCTGTCCAGCAGCCCATGGATGATCTCAAACCCAGGATTCTTGTTGTAGTAAACAGCACAGAGATGCCGGTAGTTTTTCGCACCTACATCTAGAAAAGCAAAAAGAACTGATCATCAGGTCACAGTAACCATTATTTAAGAAAGTGGCTCATTCCAACCAAACTTGTACAAAGCTAACAAAAACAGACAACAAATTATTTGACATGAAGAGAAGTGTTCAGCCTCAGAAATTCATGGTCAGTTCAAACTTTTCAGCCACCAAATTCTAAATAAACCTTCACAATTATAACATAGAATGAGAAGCTGAACAGAAGACTCAGTGACTAAGGGCACTTGTTGCTCTTACAGAGGACCCAGGTTTGGTTCCCTGCACCCACATGGTAGCTCACAACCATCCATAACTCCAGTTCCTGGGAATTTGACACCCTCTTCTGAACGCCAAGGGCACCAGGCATGCATGTGGTGCATAGACAAACATGTAAGCAAAACATTCATACACATAAAATAAAATAAGTCTTTTTTAAAATGGAAGATGTAAAAAAAAGATATGAAGCTATTGTGATATGGATCAACCCTGAAGCATGCCAAGAGAGCAAGCCTACATGACCCCCACATATGAGGTACTGAAGTCATTTGTTTTTTTAGATGACTAAGAACAGGACTGTGTGTGCAAGATAAGGACACTCCCCTGAGCCCACACCTCACTCACTCTCACCTCAGTCACACCTCAGTCACACTACCCCAGGAAGAGTTGGGAGGGTGACTTCCAGGGCTGATGGGAAGGAGAGGAGAACTGCCCCTGTTGGTCACAGGGCTACAGCCACATACAACTGCAAAGTTCCACACAAAAATGTGTAGTACTGCTGCTGTGCTGTACAGTCAGCTTGTATCTGTGTTTTAAAATACCACAATAACTTTTAAAACTGTGAGAAGAACTATGCATTGGAGGAAAAAAAGACTCAAAAGAAACAAATCTATAGGTTATGTTTGAATAGGGATAATTTTTGTCTACTTCTGACTATTTCAAAGTCTTTCCATGATTAATATATATTACCTTTTATAAAAGTAAGACAAACTAAAAATCACAACCTGAGATGAACCCCAATGAGTAATTAGATAATGAACTGGCGTATAAAGACCATGAGACAATACCCACCGATACAACCTCAGAACCTGTCAATGATCTTAACAAGTGGACAGTACTCAGAGACAATGCACTGAGTGAAGGAATCCAGCCACAAAAGGCTACAGGATCCATGAGAGAATAGACTTGAAGCAACTGAGACTAGATGAGAGTTGTATGGAGTAAGACGTGGGGGGAATGAGGCTAAAAGGGGAAGATATGGGGAGTTTTCAAGATGATGCTCTTTGGGATTACAGGATGGTGGTTTAAAAAGTACATAGCACATAAAGGAAGAGTTAAAGCCAACAGCACCATTTAATTTGAAACTGGCATATAACTTAGGTATATATCACAACCCTCAGGCAGATCCTAGAGACACACAGCTCTAATATAAATTCTGAATGCATTTGGCCTCACTTTGCTTTTTAAATTAGGAAAAAAGAAAGAAGATAATGCCTGTCTTTGAAGATAGTGAAAACAATGGGCTATTTGTTTCCTGTTCACATAGACTGCTCAAAAGTTCTTGCACAGCTTTTCCACAGGTAAGAGCTACTAGCCATGGCTGGCACAAACAGAAAGTCAGACACCACAACATTCACGGCACTGGTAACCTCTGGCCAGGTACGGAGGGCCTATCAGCCAACCCTCAGTGCTCAAGATACTCCACAGCCGGGATTACTGCTGCTGTGGAACAGATGGGGAAGCCAAACCTCAAGGCAATTAAGTAAAGTTGCCCCAAGTCAAGCTAACTAGCGAGGGCTAATCATTATCCATTCCACAGCGATGAAGTTACAAACCAGGACTTGCTCAGGACTGACTAAAACCCACACTCTCTCCACTACCCTAAGTGTGACATAAAGGATTTAGAAGGGAAACTTTATAAGGGTAAATGCATATGTGGCCATATACCTGCCTAATACAGTCAAAGATTCTTGAAACATTTTTGTTACAACGAGCAGATGTTCTATTTCTTCAAAGTTTTCATGATTCTTAAGAATTTCATTTAAGTCACTGAAATAAATTATTTTTTTAACTCCAGAATTTGTGTCCATCAACAGTATGTTAATTTATGGAGACTACATTATGAGTAAACTTCTGACTAAACAGACACAGAGAAAGAACTGTTCTCACCATTTAACACTCTTAGCATATGCTATGCTTAAGGCACTCCAGTTTTCCTTAGATAGTGGGGGTCAATGCCACTACAGGGCTCACACAAGCTCAGCATTTATTTTCTGAATACATAACTAAAATCTGGAAAAAGAGAAGCAACTCCCACACCAGGCCAGGAGCAGAGTGGGCCATATTCCAAGGCAACATGAGAGACAGCTGAGGTGACATGACTGCCATACTGCCACCCCTAGTTATTGTTTCCATCTTTATGGACAAAGAACTCTGCTATCTAAACTCTATAATCAAAGGTGCAAGGATAAGGATCAATATTAAAGTCAGGCAGGCATAAATACTGGGTAACCAGCAGCATGCATAAACTAAAATGAGAGACCTAATTCTGCTGCAGGAACGTGAACAAACACACCCACACACCCACACACATTCTCTCTCCCCTCCTGAAGGGAAAAAATTAAATGAAACAGAACTAAATTATCCCTTTCATACTACTGACTTGCTTCTGGGTATTCCTGCCATGTGGTACCCATTTGTTGGTGTCACATGCTTCCAGTTTAACACACAGGCACGTATTGAAACTACTTTGTAGTTCCACATTCACTATGAGAGCAAGCCGACAGCAAGGCCACCATTCACACAGCTTACCAATGCAAATGAGAAGCTGCTTGATATTGGGAAACTGTGGCTTGAACCATTTTTTCCTAATCTCCAAATTATTTAAAATGAACCTTCTTGATAACAGTCAAATATCTAGACCAAAATCATAGAATTTTAAAAGCAAGTTAAGTGCTTTCAGTGATCACAGAAAAAAAAAGTAAAAACTGTGCTGGAGATGTGGCTCAGCTGCTAGAGTGCTTGCATGCCTAGCACTGCATACACAAGGCATGGTGGCACCACAAGTTCAAGGTCATCCTTGGGGACATAGTGGGTTTGAAGCTATCCTGAGCTAATATGAGACCTTGTCTCCAAAAAGACAAAAATTAAAATTTATTTCATTTAAGAAAGGTTTCAGGATGTTTACAACATGCCTGGAGAACAATAAACTAACTTCTCAGTTTAATTTTGCAATTGGCTTAAGAAAAGCCACTGACTTTTAGGACTAAAGTATTTACCTCATTATTTAGGTACCTCCTCCCTATCCTACCGATGATTGCCTTTCACATTCCTCAAAGGTACCACCCCCTTTATATTTGTTTCTTTATATTTTCTTAAAACATTCCACACCCTCCATTCCTATCATCCACCTACAGAAAAATGGCTAGGTATGCTAAAATTCCCATCTCTTTGCCTTCTATACAGAGAGGCCATATTACATCACAGGAAGTACAGACTGCATGCCACAAAGTAAGAACTATTTAGATTTCATGCCAAAGCTAGGGTTTGTTGGAAATGCCTCAGTTCTTTATAACTCAGTTAACAGACCTCTTGTGTCATGCCATCAAACAATCTGCTATTTCAATGGGCCTGCCAAGTATGTCAGCCTAAATTATCCGTGTATTTCACAGACTTCAAAGTACTGCCCGGAAAGAGCGGATCTAAACCACCCAAAGGAGGGTGGCTAGATGCAGTTCTGTGAGCTCAAAAGATACAACAAATGACTTCTTTTTTTTTTTTTAATAAAAAAGAGGGAATGGTTTATGGTGTCCCTAGCATGTGACTTACATATATTTTCTAGGCTTTGGCATTGGCTCCCGAGCAGCACACATCCTGTTTGCACTGATGATTAGAGGAGAATTAGTGGTTTCTGGTATCATCCAGGGTACAGAGTCTTCCTTACTCTCACATGCACCCAGAGCCCTAAGTAAAGACGCTGTCAGAAAGAAAGTAAATGTGGAGAACAAAAAAGCTTCGAGAATAATCAAGGGCTGATACAGTACTCGAGCTAAGAGATTAACAGCCTCAGAAAATAGAGAAAATCACTCTTATTTCTAAGTCTAACCTGTCAACATTTTCAACACTGACACCCACAAAAACATAACTCATGCTTCAAATTTATCTCCTAAAGATTTTTAGCACAACCTAAGTGACCCACAAAAGCACCAAGAGTCCCACAGAAACATAGCACCGTGAAAAGCCACAGCTAACATAGGGAACAAGAACCTGATATACTGACAGGACTATAAGTTAGTAAGACATGGAAATACACGAGGAACTAGATGAGAAGACTGGCAGCAGTGAGACAGGGACAAGCAGTGGTGGTACAAAAACACATCGTGAGAGTGTATATAAATGACATAATGGCAGGCGGGCGTCTTTAATCCCAGCACTTGGGAGACAAAGGCGGTGAAGCCAGACTGATCTACATAACAAGTTCCAATCCAGGCAGAGGTACTTGTTTCAAGAAGAAGAAAGAAGAAAGAGGTGGAGAAGAGCAGGAAAAAAATGGCATAGTAAAGTTCATTTTATAGGGATAATTAATATATACAATGTAATAATGTATACAATATATTAATATATACTGGCTATGTTAGCTCACACCTGTCATCCTCCCAGTCATGGATGGAAGCAGGATGTGAGTTTGAAGACAGTCAAGGTCACACAGCAAGACCTGTCTCAAAAACAACGAAAGCAAAACAAAAAAGAAAAAAATCAGCTAAAAATACTTTGGGAAAGAATTTACTAAATTATCAAATACTTAATTGTACAAGGGAAGATGATACTCATTGTAAGACATAAGTCTCATAATATATCCCTTCATCCTCACAGGAGGCACAGTCTCTGCTTCCATATGGGGGGATATTATGTAACTCTTACAAACAAGATTGACAGTGTGTGTTCAAACAAGTTAGACCGTGTGCAAGCACATTTGTGTAAACTATAAAAGCATCACCTGTCTCTACAGCTACACACAGAAGTGTAAATATGGCTGCAGGTATGTACGAGGTCTGGCAATGAATTCTAGGTGTGGAATAAGGGACAATTTGAAGAAATCTCCCCTACCCAAAGACAGGGTTCCTCTGTATAGCCTTAGCTGTCCTGGAATTTGCTCTGTAGACCAGGCTGGCCTCAAACTCACAGATTCACCTGCCTCTGCCCCCCAAGTGCTGGGATTAAAGACGTGAGCCACTACCACTTGCTGATCTCCTTTTTAATTAAAAAATATTTTTAAATCAATAACACATATTTAAAAGTGTAAAAATATTGCAAATATATGCTCAATCATAAAAAATAGGAACAACTTTCCTCAAATGTATGTATATTGCAGAACCAAAGTTCATACTTTCTTTTTAAAATGATGCTGAAAAGCCAAGAAACAAATGTGAAAAGTAATCTCTAAAATTCGCAATGCATACAGGGAAAAAATTATATTCCTGAGGGTTGGCTTTTATTTAGTTAACATAAACCTGGAATGGATTTTTATCTATTAAAAAAATACTGTACTGGATGCATGACAGGGTACATTATACTCACGTTAGCAGATCTTAACTATGTGGAACCAAGCACACTAAAATAACTTTCTATATTAAAAATGATTTATTTACACAGCTAAGATGCCATCACATATGCAAAGGATGCTACTTCAAAAATTATTAACATCAGTCTCCTTACACCCATGTTTTTTGAATTATTAATTGGAAATTCTACATGCCAAAAAATATGAAATGGTGAAATTAAATTAATGCAGACTGATGACATAAGCCCTCTTCAGAAAGCCACATTCCACATGTGGATGCTGGATAATCTTCCATTATCTTAAGTTCCAGAATTGATGGACAGTATATCAGAAGATAGGTATTCACAGCCTATAATAAAATGTTCTTATTGAGCCTTTCTTTACCAAGTACCTAGTTATGCCAAAAATTATAAAGACCTGATCTTTTACTTTATTCAGTTATGTCTATTTTTGTGGTGCTAGGTACTGAACCCAAGGCCTTATGCATGTACCTATATTTAATATTCTGTAATACAAGACAGACAAACATTCACATCCATGTGTATGCATTTGTGCACACAGTAAGTTGAGGAAACAACTAAATAGTTATGTTCTGTGGCAGCCAAGGTGCTCACCGGAGGAGGAAGAAATAGTTTAAAGGCTTAAAACCAACATTCTTTATTTGCACATCCATTTAGAAAGAGTAAGGAAAACCAGACCATCCTCTCACTTAGAAAGGCTGCTTGGACAATGCCGAAGTTTGGGAACGATTTAACTGTAACCTGCAGGCAGGGGAATGGAGTTCAAAGCAGGGCCACTAAGCCACTCTTGAGGACAGAAGGTCTGAGCTAAGAGCGATCTGCCCCAGATGAGTGCTCTAACCCACTGCACTTAGCACAGCAAGTCCAAACTTTCTGAAATGTTGTTGCTGAAGCCAAATGTAGGCGACTGATTGTGAGTTGGCCACAGACAAGTGTCATGCAGAACCTTGGATGAAGGGGTCCTGCAGTTTTTCTGGCTTTTAAAATATTTTGTTTACAGTTTGGTTATTCCTGACATTGAAATGAATGAGCTATTAACGTCTGAAACCAAGCGGTAACTCACAGGGCAGCCTTGCATGCTCTCCACCGCTACCATCCTTGCTACAAAACTGAAAAACTTACCCTAGGGCAGAGTCTGTACTCAGTTTCTTGTTGCAAGAACACATGCCACTCTGCCCAACAAAAGGGATAAACCAGTGTAGTCCCCTGAGTCATGACTAATTTTTAAAAGTGTTACAGCAACTTCGGATCTTGAGGCTCAACAAATGCAGCAGCTGGCTCAGCCTCAAACAAGCCGAGTGTGCCTGATTTACAGTGCAAGTCTTAATGCTTGAAGAGTGTGCCTGACTCGGTTTCAAAACTGGCAGCCTGACAGCCTCATTCATCTTGATGACCAGTGAGGACTCCATAGAGTGAATGTCTGACTAGGTCAAGCAGGAAAATGGCAGCTGTCTTTGCCTGCTCTCAGAGGAACATGGGTTAGACAGGAAAACATGGAAACACACCAAGATTCCACTTCCATTTTTATTTCAGAAGCTATGTGTGCCAAGCAGACACTGAGGAGGCTTAGCAGTGCTAGGGTTTTCCAACATCACAGAATGAGTTATTGGCAGTTGTAGCTCCATTCTCTACATTCCAGAGACATTTTGCACATTCCCTCCAAACTGAACTTGGGTGTGCTGGGTGCCCAGTGAGCTCCAGGGTCCTGCCAGTCTCTGCCTTCTTAGCCCTGACATTACAAGCACATGCTGCCATGCTTGGTTTCTCACACAGGTTCTGAGGATCCAAACTCAGAGCTTCATGCTAGTGTAACAAGCACTCTCTCATATTCTAAACTAGGTTCTACCTTCCTATCACCACGGTCAACCAGACAACATGGCGTGTGCTTGCCACACATCTTCACCCCTTTAAACCTCATAATTTGGGGACTGCTCACTAAGGAGAATTCAAGAAATTTCATATTAATTGGAAAATCCCTCAATCATTTAACTATTGGTGGTTTCAACTTTTTTATTCAAAAAGTTTCATTTAGGAACACATGACTAGAACTTAATACATCTAAGAGAGAGAAGACTTCTAGTTTGCCACCAAAAAAGAAAAAAAAGAGAAAGACATGGTTAAATTACTCCAAAGACAATATTTCTATGATTTATTTTTAAACATAAAGTCTTACGTTAGTATGACTTGGGTTTCTCATAAAGGGGAGAAGGGAAAAAAAAAAAGAATAAGAAAACCCAATGACTCAAAGTCCCCTAAAGGTTAGGATAAATATCAAGCCCCATTGTCCCAGCAAAGCACAGTATCACTGCTGGGCTGGTCATCCTGGACTTTCAAGCACAACAGCAGAAAATGGGTGTGACCCAGGCCAGCATCATCTGGCCCTGGGACTGCCACCATCCTAACAAAGACAACAGCCATCACTTACTACTTGGCTGAAACTTTGCAAATGCAGTTCCACTGGATCCTTACAACAGCTAATAAAGTAAGTGCTGTCATTACTCCATTGTACAGATGAGAAAACAGAACTGTAACTATGTACCACGGAAAGCCTTATGGCTTCAGTCTGCAGAACCCAGACTCGCTGCTGCCCCAGCTACAGATGCTATGAACCCTTTTCCTGTAGCCAGATGATTAGGAGGGAATTCACATGCACATGTTTAGAATACCGCATAAGAGAAGTTTTTGTTATGAAATAACATCCAGGCCCACCTAAACAGAATATGTACTCCATCTCAACGAAAGGAAATGTGTTTTCACGATGGCAGACTCAGTGAGCAATTTACTTCCCTTCATTTTTCAAATGTTATTGATATGATAGAAAATATTAAGGAAAAAGAATAAACCAATGCAAGACAAAGGGTAAAATTGCATTGGATGGAAATGAACCATGAAGAAAACAGTAGGACGGTTTCAACTAAGACAGGCACAACAGAGCTCAGCTACAGAGAAGTTCTTCCTAATGAGAAAAAGCACAACAGAATGCAAATGTCTCAGCTAAAACAAATGACAAAACCCATCTCAGGCACACATACCCAGGCCTGAAACACAACAATGTATGTACTACTCCATGGCTATAGACAAACTTGACAGCAAGTGTGGGACCCATGGCTGCTCCTTACTCTCACCCAGCCCTGAAGAGCCATGAGGGAGCCCTGTAGGGGCCATTGCTGAAAAGAGTGCTGTTACCTTAATTCTATACTTATAATTATGAGGACACCGAGAAGGTAGGATCAAGACAATATGAAGCTCAAAGAACAAATGTGGAAGGAAACAGTCAAAATGGACAGATCGATATCACCCTGAACTCTTAGATGTACATGCATGGAAAAACTGAGTAAATCCTCAAAATTGTTTGCACCTAACACAAAAAATATTTCCTAATTTTTAGTATAGATTTGCCACTGCTAGAAAATTCTACAGACTATAGCCTGGACTTAAGGACCACTCATAATCACAGGGACTGATGTATGAAATCAAAGGACCAAGGAAGGCTATCAGCCAACAGACACTTGAAGCATTGCTCACCCAGGGATCACAGCACTTAACAGATCTAGACAATCAATCAAACTTGAGTTTGCATTAGAAAGACAGACTTCCAGAAAAATCGGGCTTCCAAAACTCTTAAATTTATATTTATTAGATAACCATGCATTCCAAGTGTTGGGTCACAATATTTGCTATACTAAGTTAAGTACTTTGAACGCTAAGTATTTAAAAAAGGAAAAATTATAAAACAATTCACAGTCACTGTTACAGCAATAGTGTTGGACTAGCAAAGCCCGACAACAACACCATGCAAGGTATGGCAGAGTGAAGGGAAGAAATGTTTCAGAGTGCTCTGGAGACCAATCTTTCCTTCCTTCCTTCTCCCCCACCCCCACCTCTTGGGGGGCGGGTACTGAGGTGAGTTCAGGGACCCAAGCATACTTATACATATACTCATGTCTCAAACCAACACTGAACTACATTTCCCACACACTACGGTGTTTTTAAGGTGAAGTTTCAATAGGACCCCTCATGATTATTAAATTCTTTATGAAAATGTTCTTTCTAAGAAATGGGAAACCTAGCCACCAACGCCTAGGCACTGCTAGGATTCAGATTCGAATAAGTCAATCATTAAAAGAAACTGATGAAACAATCGGAAGAGGGACTGGAACACTTAAATGGGATATTTGGTAAGTGTAACAACAGACAACATAGCTGTGGTAGAGCTTAGTGTCAGAATTACCAACTCAAGGGTGTGCTGATAAAATGATGTACTAATTTGATTGACATAAAATGCTATGAGGGTGGTAGCTACATGGAAGAAACCTGGTTGCATGTACATGTGTGAACATGCTAATTTCTCCATACAGAGCTGAAATTCACACAATAAAAAATGCTTAAGTATGCAAATCAGAGGTCACTCACTCTTACCTTTGCTAGAATCTTTCACTACAACGTCAGAGATTTCAAACAGTTTGAGAGGAAGTGGCATCTTCCGGTTTGCTGCAATGGTCTTTAGAAGGCCAGGAAGAAGGGTAGTGCGCGCCACCTACAGAAAAAGATGGGAATTTGCAATGACTTGAGAAAAACCAACAAATTCCCTGTTAGAGGAGACAAAGCAGGCCAACTTCCTGGGTTCACAAGAAAACTTTTGGATAGGGCAATGCCTTAAATGCCTGAGTCATTTTAAATTTTCAAATTCAATTCCCTGAAAGAACTGGAAAATATTCTCCATTCCAAATTAACAAAATAAACACCAATAAATCTGATTAAAATCAAAGTGAGAAGCAAACACAACTCAATGATTATTCTTACCTAAAGATTGTTTAGTTCATTATAATTTCTAAAACTAAATTGGGCTTCCAAGGTTGCACATATGGAAATTTTTATATCCTGTCTCCTTCCACAAAGTAACTGAAGTAGCCCAGGCTGGATTCCCAAGTGCTCACATTCAGTCTATACTTGGTTCTTACATGATTTGAGCTAGCTGGTTCAATCATTCTTACTGAATCGTCTACTTCAAAACTGACCTTTATTTATTATTCTCAGCTTTCCTCTCTTTCCCATCCACTTATAGTAAATAAAAGTAAAATAAACAAATAAATGTAGTTTTCTGATCCTGGCATGGTTGTGAGGTCTAAAATCCCAGTGCTTGGCAGGCTAGATAGTGGGAATTTTGAGTTCAAGGCCAGCTTGGGCAACATGGTTTAAGGCCAGTTTGAGCTGCTTAGCAAGCCCTTTTGTCTCCAGCCTACCACAGTGGAGTTCCCTCCTTTCCACATCTTGCCACCTCAAGTAGCTACATTTAAAGATAACTTTTCTCTAACTAGATGTGCTGGTGTGTGTCTGTAATCTCAACCAGAGGTTGAGGCATGAGGATCAAGCGGTTTCAAGGCCATCTTCAGCTCTGTAAAGGCTCGAGGCCTCCATGAGCTAAATGAGTGACTCAGTTAGGGTTTCTATTGCTGTGATAAAACACATGAACAAAAGCAACTTGGAGAGGAAACAGTGTATATCTTTTCACACTTCCATTGACAGCCCACTGCTGAGGGAAGTCAGGGCAAGAACTAAGCAGAGCAGGATCCTAGAGGTGGGAGGAGGTGGGTCTGAAGCAGAGGCCGTGGAAGGGAGATGCTTACTGGCTTGTTCCTCATGGCTTGCTCGGTCTACCTTCTTATAGCACCTAGAACCACCAGCCCCGGGCGGCACTCCCCATCAATCATCAATCAAGAAAAAGTCTCACAGGCTTTCCCACAGGTCCGTCTTTTAAGATGGCCCTAAATGAGGCTGTCCAAAAATAAACAAAAACCTCTCAAGTTTTTTTTTTAATTTGCCTTGGTAGAGTGGTAATATCCCCTCTTATCAATATTTTTGTTGTTGTTAAAAACCATCAGCAACATAAAAATGTAAAACCTGAATCTGGTCACACTTGTATATTTAACTACTAATTTGTGAGAAACACAGGAGACCACCAGAATATATTCAGTAAAATTCTAAATGTGGAAATCCTACAGAACAAAGGACCCATATTTTGTAGCAAATAAAGTGAAATAAAGGATGTGTATGTGAAAGATTAAGGGATGTGAACTAACGGACTAATAACCTACAGACTACTCAATCAACTTTAATATATAACCTCAAGTGAATCCCAACTGAAAAGAAAAACGACAAGTACAGCTAGGAAGACTTACAATGATAGCCACTTGAAGGCTTACTTAATATTACTGCTAACCTGGGGACAAGTGAGGATATTCAATAATCTTATTTATAATAATTGCATTAAAATTTACACATTTTGAGGAGTGATAAGCAAAGGGGTCAAGACTGGGCTAGTGAAACCCACAGAAACAGGTGACCTGAAAAAGGGGGAGCTTTTTGGACCCCAGACTGATGGCTGAGAGGCCAGCATGGGACTGATCCAGACTCGCTGAATGTGGGTGTCAGTGAGGAGAAATAGGCAATCTATGGGGCTTTGAGTAGTAGGTCAGTATTTATACCTGGCACACAAATGGACTTTGGGTGCCCATCCCACAATGAGGGATGCTCTCTCAATCTGGACACTTGGGGGGAAGCGAAATGACAGCCTCTAGAGATCCCCCACGGAGAGCCTTACCCTCCTGGAGAATGGAGTGGGGATTGGGTGGGGGGCTGAGGGGGTTGGTGGGGAAGAGCAGGCATGGAGGGGAGGGAGAGGGAGCTGGGACTGACATGGGAAGCAAGCTTGTTTCTAATCTAAATATTTAATAAAAAAAGTGTTAAAAAAAAAAGAAACTGAACAAACACTATTCTAAGGCACCACTCAAATAATAAAAAGCCTACTAATGCTTCCTCTACTGTCTGTCTCAGGAAAACATTACTACTTTGATCACTAACCCTCAGTCTGGATGTCAGCCCACACAGCCACTATTCTGCTGCCAGTCGGCAAACTTGTTGCCACTCATTTATAAATGATTTGTACATTAAACTATACTAAACAATAGCATCATTATTACAAATTGAGACTATATTAGATGGCTTCACTAAAAGAAACATTTTAAGAAACAGAAAAATGTAAGAAGGGACCATGTATGTGACATAAATGTTCCCACATGAATTGGAACTATGCAATCTCTAATCCCATAAATTAACATTCTCAGAAATTGGGACTGTTTATAAGTCCCAAGAGGCCAACCATATCCTCTCTGGGAATGGCATATATGACTCTCATGAATATGAACAGTGTATTGAGAAATAGCCACTGAGATCTTTCCTTTCCACTTCTATGTAATGTGCTACAACTTTGGGGAATTAAAAAAAAAAAAGGCTTACAGAGAGAAACTTAAAGGGTGGCTAAACAAAAAACCTTATACATTTTACCTAAATGTTTTTCTTCTCCTGCCTATTCTTTACTGTTAGAGAAGAACCCAAAATTAAGAATTACACAGGGAAAGAACAGTCTTATAACCAAATCATACGTTCAATTTAATTTAACCATAAGCAAGTACAAACTGTTCACTGCATTTAGTAATGGCAGAATGGAGAAGTAAAACAAGGGTAATGCAAAAGCTGCCAAGTTTACAGGCTATTCCCTATCATCTCCAAGTATTTATGCAGAAATACTGACTCTTGAGTGCACTAAGCCACTGCTATTTATGGCAGCAGCTAATGCATCTCTGATCTGCTTTCCCTCCATTTATATAAAGTGGAGCAGACAGGACACAAACTCTGAAGAATGTAAGTTACAGAAATCTTGAGAAATACAAAATTTGTGTCACACTTGATAAATGAAACTGCGGGAGGGGAATACATTTAGCATAAACAAGTAAAAATCTACATAGATTCAATGAAAATGTGCTGAGTAAATATTAGTATATATAGCTCATTTGCCATAGTAGGAAACATTTCTAGAACCTACAGAATGCCCCAAAAAACTAACCTAGGAGACCCAAAGTCAAGAGAACTATCACAGATCACAGCAGAGATGTGCTCTACACTGGTGTCAGTTTCCTAAACGTAGATCCTTTATCTCTAAGATTGCGCAAACTGGACTGCATATGCACGGAAGCAAGAGTCCAGACATGTGTAAAGATGTTGTTTAGAGTCACTCATTAGCAAAGCTGTTATAACTGGAAATGCACTTCTATAGCTAATATCCAAATCTATAGGAGGAATCATTTAACACTGACTATCATTTCAATAGCATTCTCATTTACCTCACCCTAAACTCTGTAACAAACTGCTAACAAACTTAGATGACAATGAAAGACACAGAAAGCACAGTCAAGGCTGTGGATATTTATACACTGTGAAGATTTATGCTGTGATTGGTGTAATAAAAGCTGAATGGCCAACAGCAAGGCAGGAGAGATAGGTGGGACTTCCAGGCAGGGAAGGAGGAAACAGGATGGTCTGTCCAGAGTAAAGGTAACAGAGCCACATAAACGAATTTGGATTAAAAGATATGGGCTAATTTAAATTATATGAACTAGTTAAAAACAAGGCTAAGCTAAGGCTAAGCTTTCATAATCAATACGTCTCTATGTCCTTATTTGTGAGCACCCCCCCCCCAAAAAAAATCCACAAAAGGTCAAAAACTGGTATAATGGCTTATGGGGATTCAAGGAATACATTTGGTCCATTTACTACAAGTGAATGGGAAGAAGAAACAGAGAACATTAAGTAAACACCAATTATGAAGTGGAAAACGCAGGTAAGAGTGGCTGAGTGGGCTACTAAAAGCATTTAAGAACTAAGAACAGGCTGAACATGAGCAGTTGGGAGTCCAGTCTGGGCTACGCAGTGAGTTCCAGGGAAGCCTGGTGTATAGTATATGATACCATCTCAAAGACAGGAATAATAATAATTATTATATATTTTTAAACAAGCCACCTTCTACCAAGCACAAGGCTTTGAGTTCAATACTAATACATACACAGACAAAGATGGAGAGATATTGGGGGCAGAGGGAGAGAGGGGTGGGGTGTGGCTGACCAGTTAACTGCAAATTATCTAAAGAAAGTTTATTAAAATGTCCCAAAGAGGCACAATAACTTAAGAAAGAGAGCTTTCCTACATCATTTACCACAAACTCGAATTTTACCCCAATTCTTACCTACTTACAATTCTTACCTGGAACTCAGCAGTTTTGGGATTACTTATGTGAACTGCCTTTGTTTCAGAGATATCCAAGCCAAGTTTATCAGCAATATCTTCTTGGGAGCACTTAAGAACATGTAAAATAGATTAGTACAGGGCTATGCCTAACTCAAAATTTAAAAGTATTCAATGCTATCATTCAATAATTTACAGTGGTTTCTTAGCAATGTACATGCCCTATATAAATCAGTTAGTTAATAATAAGTTAAGAATCTTATCTATTAAAATTTGATAATTAAAATTCATCACTTGTAATTCACCTAGCCCACAGAAGATGCAATTAACCATGAAGAGCTCTCTATGGTGATAGTCACAATATGGTTCAAGATTCCTGGAGATGGGATTTTAACCTACACCCAGGTCCTTTTTTTACTAGGCCTGAATTTATCTTTCCAGTCTAATTTCCTGATTCCTATCTGTTTTCTGAACATTATATTTTTACCTGTCTTTATGTAAAATACCGTCCTAGCACCACATTCAGCCAAACCCAAGGCTCTACTTAAGTAACTTCTCTTGTACCACTTACAAAAAAATATATCTAGCAGGATCATTAAGAGTCCCTGTGGTGGTTTGAAAGAAAATGGCACCCAATGGGAGTGGCACTATTAGGAGGTGTGGCCTTGTTGGAGGAAGCGTGTCACTGTCAGGGCAGTCTTTAAGGTCTCTTTTGCTCAAGCTTCCCTCAGTGTGACAGTCAACTTCCTGTTGCCTCTGAGTCAAGATGTAGGACTCTCAGCTCCAGCACCATGTCTGCCTGCACGACACCACGCTCTCCACCATGATAATAATGGACTAAACCTCTGAAACTGTAAGTTGCCACCTCAATTAAATGTTTTCACTTAAGAGTTGTCATGGAAACAGTGTCTCTTCCCAGCAAGATACCTAAGACATACCCCTTCCTTGGCTTCCCCAGGGATTTCTGTTTACCAGTGCAATTCTAGATAAGTCTGCACAGATTTGGAACAGACTGGAACTGGAAGAATTCACATGACTGAACTTTGCTCAATTATTTTAAATGCTACCATTTAACTTGCCCTGCACAGGACCCACGTAGCTCCTAGGAACAAATAAACTGTACCCACCTGCAGAAACTAGAGCAGCAAGCAAAAGCTAGAACAGAACTCACTACTAGATCCAAAAAAAATCTAATAAGGATCAAGATTTAGAGATGTCTCTCCAAGGCCTGACAGGAAATACTAGAAATATATATAAAATAACCAAGTGATGACAACAAATCATCACAAAAAAATAAACAATTATCCTTTGTTTAAAAAATAATTCAAGGCCGGGCGGTGGTGGTACATGCCTTTAATCCCAGCACTCGGGAGGCAGAGGCAGGCGGGTCTCTGTGAATTCGAGGCCGGGCTGGACTGACAGCCTCCAAAACAATACAGAGAAACCGTCTCGTAAAAAAAAGAAAAGAAAAAAATCAAAACCAGCAGTGGTAGTGCACACCTTTAATTCCAGCACCCAGGAGGTAGAGACAGGTGGGTCTCAATGAGTTTGAAGCCAGCCTGGTCTACAGAGTGAGTTCTAGGACAGCCAGGACTATTAACATAGAAAAACCCTGTCTCGAAAAACCAAAAACATGTAACATGAAAAGTCGATGCCATCAAATTCCTGGAATTTCCCCAGATGTTAAGGCAATGTTGCTCATTAAACTGTTCTAAAGGCATCTTCAAGTAGAAGGCCTTCAAAGCACTGAAGAGCTGCTGTTTGCCAGGCACTGCACCAGGAAGAAGCCTGGAGCGAGAAAAGGTAAACAGCCAACTCACCTGAGAAGCATTTTACCTTCACTGCATGCTAATGCTTGCCCTAGCAACTCCAGCCTGAGCTCACTCAAGGCCTCGGCTAGCACAGAATTTACCATCCCACCCAGCCTGTGAAATGCCGGTATTATATATGCGCTTGTGTGTACCACCATACCCAGCTTTGCAACACTTCCTTGAAAAAGTCTTAAAACTATCAAAACAGAGCCCACACACCTGCTACATAAAATGTCACTTTCTCCAGTGTAGAGGGGATTTTTTTTAAAACAAGACTTAGATAAACTGAGATCAATTAAAAATGCTTTTACATGATGCCACCCACTCTCAAACAGAGCTAGTTCTGGCTGTTTGAAAGAAAAAGGCTCCCCAGACACAGGTCAACATCCAAGTGCATCTGAGTGACCTTGTGCTTCATAATGGTGATGAAAAAAATCTAAAGCAGTTTTTGTTAAACTTCCCTCAAGCGACAGCAGCTAAGACCCAGGAAGGAAGATGTCCTTAAATATTAGCATTTATGTGTCTATTGTAATGTTAGGGACTATACCAAGTATAAAACCTATAATCATAACCTGGTGGTGGTAGCACACACCCCTAATCTGCAGGTGAATCTATATGAATTGGAGACCAGCCTGGTTTACAGAGGGAGTTCTAGGACAGCCACGTCTATGCAGAAAAACCCTGTCTCAAAAAACAAAACAAGAACAAACAAAACTCATAATCATTATAAGTATTACTCTTAAGGGTAAAATAGACATTTAATTCTAAGATTGAGTCAATTTATAAGGGAAAATATTACAACTAGTATGCAATGCTAATAAAAAATCATAATGTTGAATAGTGAGCTGCTTGTTAAGAAGTCAAGGACAAGCTTTTGAAAACTGATTATCATCACTCTTATGCAAACTGGATGTAACAATAGAGACCAACATGTTTAAGCTCTGTTTAGAAAATACAGAACTTTATAGACTTTTAAATTGCTTATTGGTTCATTTTATGCATACAGATATTTTGTCTTGCATGTATGTCTGTATACTACTTGAGTGCACGATGCCCACAGATGTCAGAAGAGGGCACTGGATGCCCTGGGACTGGAATTACAGGCAGTTGGGGGCCATTATGAGGGTGCTAGAGATTGAAACTGGGTCCCCTGCAAGAGTAGCCAGTGCTCTAAACCTCCAAGCCATCTCTCCAGACCCTATAAAGATTTTTAATAGGAATCTGTGTGACATCTATCTTCTCTAGACCCTCATCCTTTCCTCCCAGACAATGAACATAAATGTGTGACTGGACAGCTGAGCACACGGCTCAGTGTTACACTCTGGTGCTATAATTCAGTCACAAGCTTTGGCTCCTAACAGGCCTGGGCTGGAATCTTGAGCGCATACTTGTGGTTGCATGGGGGATGGAGGGACTGACAGAGAAGTTACTCTAACTGCTGTGGAGTACAGGAACATGCCTGAGAAGGACTGATATCATGTGCATAGAGCTATCGGTGTGAATAAGCCCTCCCTGCAGAGTAGCACCTAGCAGAAGTCAGCTTGTGTCCTCCTACAAGATACATGGACTCAGTAACAAAATCAAAAAGCATTAATAGAAGAAGGCAGTGAGAACTACTAAGTTTTAATTGCAGTTAGTTTGGGAAAGAAAAACAGAATCGTAAGTGGAAAGAGGAACCAGTGGTTACTTGTATAAAGTTGAAATCCTCCAAAATGATATTGCATTGTTTCCTAAACCACGTGTGCTTTAAAAAACACATTTCTCAATGCTAAGTTTTACATTTCATTTTGTATAAAATGGTGACTGCTCACAAATAGAAATGCATGTCTATATATGAGAGACATGGTACTCTAAGCCTAGTGTACACAAGATGAGACAGGGGTCGAGCACTAGGCACCCAAAGACCTGATGCTCATCAGGACTCTGCTGTGTGCAGTGGGTTACCTACTTTCTTTCCCGTTCACGTCTCCTCACAGGCGCAGTGCCTGCTAACAACACATGCTGCCTCAGAACAATAGCCTAAATACTCTAAACATAAGGAACTTCACCAGTTGGTAGGGGAGCACATCTTTAATCCCAACACTTGGGCGGCAGAGGCAGATGGATCTCTGTGAGTCTGAGGTCAGTCTGGTCTACAGAGCAAGTTCAAGGACAGGCTCCAAAGCTACACAGAAACCCTGTCTCAAACCACCTCCCCCCCCCCAAAAAAAAGAGCTTCAGGCTGGGGCTGGGAATCAGGAAGCTAGGAGGTTGTTAAATCAAGCTCACTGGGATATACAAGCACTGCAGTCTGGGCACCACAGACATTCACGGCAGGGAAACCATACGAACTACTTCTTTCAATGGTCAGCCTGAGGAGAGAGAGGCTGAGTTCCTTCTGATTCCTTAATAACATTCATTTCCTGATTTGGGCCTTTTATGTCAACTTTTCAACTGAAAGCAAATGTTTGTGAACATGTTCAAAGACAAAGAAATAAGTCTAATGTGGAACAGTTCCTAAGACCTTAACCAGGGCGGCATCTAGTGGGTACAGCCACAACCAAATTAAGACCAAAGATTCTAACCTAACAAATCTTTTGTGCACCTTCCACACTTACATCAAACACACAGCATGTGGTATCTGTCACTGGGGCTTTTTTCCCTAGGTCTTCATGATCTTCTATGACTATCAAAAGAAAAACTCCCCATTTTTCTTTACTAAAAAGTGTATTATCTGAAGGAACCAAGTTTCAACAGTCTAGAGGTTATAGATTCACCCAAAGAATCACAGAATATACAATTCAGGGAGGCCAAGGAAACTTCAGTAGGACAGAGTGAGTTGAAAACGTACCAGGGCAAAAGTAAGAGCTTCAGTGAAGCCAGCAGCAGCCATGTCAAGTCTGAGGAGCTCCGTGAGCTTGTTGAGAGGAAACTGAGGGAAAAGCAACACAGTACGACGTCTCAAAGCTGCTTTGTTGTTTTAGACAGTTCATGCAGAGCATACCACTAACAGAAACAAACTCCTCCCTCACCAGCACACTGTAATACCCACACCACAGCCATCCAACAGCCTCCCACCACACCTCTCCCACACAGCGTCTGCCTGCAGGCCCAAGCTGAGAAAATGAATCTTCCACTTAAAGAGATTCAACAAGAGCTCCACGCCTGAAACCTGTCTCTCTTCAAAGAACTAGTCATCATAGGTTCTCAACTCACTCTAATCACCTGAGCATCTGTTTCGTATCCTTCCCATAGCAAATGCCTCTCGCAGCAAAGCACATCCAAATGCTGCTTAATTCCCAGGTTCTGTTTGTCTCGAAGCCTTCCTGGCATTCAACAATCAGGTGCTAACAAGAGAAGTGTTTATTTAAGGGTGCAATCTCACTTGATTAGCTATGGTGTATGTTTTCGGCAGAGTCATCTGAATGTTGTTATATCCATAGGCAATAGCTGCATCCTCCACGATATCACAGGCATGGATAACGTCTGCTCTGGTGGGAGGAATTTCAACCTCAATCTGATTGCCATCGCCTATGACTTCTGACTTCAGACACATTCTGGTCAGGAGCTTGGCAAGGTTTGCAGGAGATTCCCTAAAAAGAGAATGCACAAACCATAAGCTTCCCTAGAGTAGGTAAAACACACTTACATTCTGCTTTAAGACAATGTCTACCTGAAATAGTAACCACTCTTTGAGTTCTGTTAGGTGTCAAATATCCTGGCTTACTATCAAGCACTCTTTCAAGAAAAATAACTCACTGTACACTTTATGCCTGAATTCTCTTCTCTCCCACCTTAAACAAATTTCACAGCATACCTGATTCCAACTTTCTTGTTAATTAAATCAGCTCTCACCATCTCCTTTCTGTAAGCCAGCTCCTGAGAGAGAAAGTTTGAAAATGTCAATTGTTCTTCATCAGATGTAGTTTTCTAATCTTTCTCATTCAATCAGTTGTTGCAGCTTTATTACCCAGCCAAGAGACTGTTAGCGCCACACACTGAAATAAACCCATGGGGTTTTTTGGTTTGGGAGACAGGGTTTCTCTGTGTAACAGCCAGGGTGGACCTGGAATGCAGAGATCCACCTGCCTCTGTCTCTGTGCTAGGATTAAAGGCATGGGCCACCACTGCCCAGCCTAAACCTGAGGTTTTAATATTACAGAACCAATTTGTTACACTTGACTCATATGAATATTTTCTGTCCTAAATTATTTGTTTACTGCTTGGAAATAATATAGTCCAAACTTTTTCTTTTACAAGGCCATCCCCAGCCCTACAGTACAACACTACCGTATGTATCACTTCTAAGATGCTTACAAATGTTTGGTCTTATGCAACCAAAGTATATGACCAAGGGACAACAATCCAACTGTCACAATGAACCACTCATAGTGAGACTTAGGGAATACAATTCTCAGGTCAGCCAAATGGCTCCATGGATAAAGGAGCTTGCTGCCATGTCAGATGACCTGAGTTCAACCCCCAGGACCCACATGATAGGAGAGAAGTTTGTCCTGCAAGCTGTCCTATGATTTCCACTTGGGTGCTGTGGTTCACACTCCCTAAACAAACACAATCTGTTTGTTTGTTTGTTTCCTGGTCCTGGGAGTCTTGTGCTTGCTAAGCAAGCACTCTACCACTGGACTAAATCCCCAATACCCATAATTAATTAAAAAAAAAAAGAATAAATTTCGCTGTTACCATTTCCCAAGTAGAAAAGTATTATGTTCCCAGACCTGCCTATCAATCTGCTCCAGGAGACAATAAAGTGGATGGGAATATGTCATAAACTGGTACTCACTCTCCTTCAAATGGCACACAACCTTACTACTGTGGGGGAAAGCACACATGCATAAAACTCAGGCTCTCCACCACCTTTGCAAACAGCTTAGGAACACTTACCCCAAATTACTTTCGATGCGCACACAGGCATGCATGAAAGAATGAAGAGACAGAGAGAAACTAGCTCCAAAGCTCACACTGTTAATTACTGACCTCCAAAACCTTACTCCTCCTTAAAAAAGCAGCACGGCTAATGAAAGACAACAAACAGGCTTCCCAGTGTTTTGAGGAAATCCTGACTTTCATATACAGAAGGAGTACTCCCCCTTGGGGCGACCTGCTGTGCAGACAACCTCAGCACTGTTCTAGGAAACATTTGAGAGAAAACCTTCACGAATGCCCAGCACTCCTTTTCAGAAAGCCACAATTTTAAATTTACAAAAGTGCTCTATTATATATGAATGCTTTTATAAGACTATCTACACCAGGAAAAAGCAAACAAAACCTTACAGCATATTTTTCCTTTTCTTTACAAAAGATATATATATATAGTTTTACTAATACCTGATAATTACTCATATATATATATACACACACACACACACACACACACACACACACACACACACACACACACACACATATATATATAAAAGAGTCATAGCCAGGCCTGGCGTCACAAGCTTGGTTTTACGAGACAGGGTTTCTCTGTATTGTTTTGGAGGCTGTCGTTCCAGACCGGCCTCAAACTCACAGAGATCCGACTGCCTCTGCCTCCCGAGTGCTGGGATTAAAGGTGTTCGCCACCACCGCCCAGCAATGTCACATGCTCTTTATTCCCAGTACTTGGGGAGGCAGGTGGATCGCTGAGCTCCAGGCCAGCCTAGTCTACAAAGTGAGCTCCAGGACAGCCAAGGCTACACAGAGAAACCCTATCTCAAAAAACAGGACCCAAGTTCAATCCCCAGCATCTACATGATGGCTCACAACCAAATGTAAGTCCAGTTCCAAGAGATGTGATGTCCTCTTCTGGCCCCTACAAGCACTGAATGCACCTGGTGCAGACACACATGCAGGCAGAGTACCCATACACCTAAAATACTTATGTTGTTCTTTCTTAAAGAAAGCTCTCAGATTAGACATTTAAAACATCATTATGAACTTGTGCACACCTGGGTCATAGCACTAAGGGGTGAAGTAGCACAGGCTAATTTTTAGGTCTCAGAAAAACAAACAAAAAGAGCAACCACAAATTCTCCCTTTGTCCATATGTATGGCCTTGGAAAGAAGCACTGAAGATTTTCTCACAGCATAGATGGTACCTATTTCTCCACTTCACAAACCCCTCAAACTCATCCACAGGACTGGATATCCTGCTGGGACAGCACTGGACTTGCTCTGTTATAATGAGTAGCCCTGAAACGTCACCGTTAAAAAAAAACTCTAAGCCCCTTTCTGTCCCTTATCTTAGCAACACTGCAATGGTTGCTGCTGCTCCCCAAGTTCTGCCCTAACACCCATGAGGCCATGTCCCAGTGAAGCCCAGGCTTCCTTTTTTTTTTCCTTTTTCTTTCTTGTTTTGTTTGTTTGTTAATAAAAGTTAAGCAACAATCACCATTAAAATGAAAATCAAGTGCAAGTATAGTTTAGTAGTATAGTCCTTGCCTCACATTTGTGGTACCCTGGGTTGCATGCCAACATTATAAAAAGCCCAAACACAAACTACAAAATCTCTACTCCAAAGGTGGATACTGTAATTTCAGCTATATGGTACATACCCGCTTTCTCTATTAAACTAGAATAAAATAGGATGCTGGGCAGTAGGGTGGCTCAGTGGACAAAGGTGCTTGCTGTACAAGCTTGGATACAGAGAATGACTCCCCGATATTTTCCTCTGATCTCCACAGACATCATGCGCGCACGCACGCATGCACACACACACACACACACACACGCACACTAATAATACCAAAAATTTTTTAAAGAATACCATATTAGACACTAATGTTTTTAAGAAGGGTAATGTTTTTATCTTAGCACACTTTAACATACTTATAAAACTATTTTACTGGCTGGGAGGAAGTAGAGACAGACACTTCCCACCAAGTCTAATGACTTAAGTTCCATCCCTGGTACCCACATGGTGGAAAGAGAGAATCAAGTTCTATAAATTGTGGGGCACACACACGCACACACAAATAAATGTAATTCAGGGGATGGAGAAATGGTTCAGGTATTAAAAGCACTGAGTACTCCTTGACAGGACCCAGGTTCTGTTCCCAGCACTCACATGGCAGCTCACAACCATCTGTAACTCCAGTTCCAGGGATCATACACCCTCCTCTGACCTCCTTAAGCAACAGGTCCATAGCACACCTGGTGCACAGACATACATACAGGTAAAACACTTGCATACATAAAACATTTAAAATTTTTCATTAAAAATTTTTTATGTTCTGATTCAATTCATAAATAACAGAAAAGAGAAAGAAAGAGGAAGGGAGGGATGGAGAGAGGGTAGGAAGGAGGGAAGAAGGGAAAGAGGGAGGGAGGGAGGGAGGGAGGGAAAACACAAAGAAAGAGAAACTCACAAAGGCTGATCAGAGCATGGTTTCACTGAACCAAAATCACAACTATATGATTGTGAAAATGTTCCATTTCAAAATGACCTCCTTACAGTGGATGTGGTGGCATATTCCAGTGCTTGGGGAGGGAGACATGAAGATCATGAACTCAAGAATACCTTTAGTTACATAGTGAATTCCATGCCAACCTCAACTACAAAGCAAGATCCTGTCTTAAAAGCAACCAAAAATAAAGAATAATACCAATTTCTACCAAGACCCTGTGTTTAACAATTACTATGCTTACTTCTAATCCAGTCTGAACACATTCAGGGTTACTATAGAGAAGCCTTCAGCAATTACAGACTCCAATGTGAACACACTAACTTGATTTGCAGAACTGAGTAATCATAAAGGGATGAGACTATAAATCATCCAAATAAACTAGTCAATAGAGGACAGATCAGAAAATTATGTTACTAATACACCGTGATGGCAGCTACAGTCAGGAGCCTGCACTTAAATCCTTGCCACAACACATACTAACAGACACCCATTAAACATTCCAGGCTTCACAGTCTCCCTACAGAGAGACAGCACACTGCTCACCCTCACTGAGAAATGATTCCCTGAGAAATGGTGCAAGGTATGCTGCAAGGCTGGGTGGGTGGACAGATGGACTAAACACAGAGACACAAACACTCAACCATCACTATGGGAAATACAGCTAGGACTACTATTATCATCGTATTTTAAGAACTTACTGGAAAGGTATTTGATTTTCCATTAGGAGAAACTACCTCAGCTGCTTCAACTCTAAAATTAAAGAAAAAAGGTCATAAATAAAATGCTTAAGGAAATGAGCTATAAATTCTTAAAATATACATGATTAATAACTGTTTTATAAGTCTAGCCTCAATGCATTCGATCACTCACATCCTAACATCATCATTTTGACCAATCTTCCTGTATACAATATTATTCTACCACTCCAGGTCCCAAAGCTCTCACCCCAACCCCCTTAGACAGTGGCCACCAGAAAAGTTTATTTCCCAGCGTATAGGGCATGCATCCTACATGGACTCCAACAATACTACCGTATTTCCCAAACTTTTCCAGGATATTATGTTGCAAGACAGAAGCTAACGTATAAATTCCTTGAAATGCAAATCATAAAAATAAGAAAACTTTATAACTTCAGTCATTTTTATTCTTATACATGTACTATGCATTATAACTGAGTCTAGAATAAGCTGATGCTAATACACAGTAAGGACATGTAGCTTTGTCATATCCTTCTACACCTCTGCTTAGCTATTCCTCCATCTTTACATCTTCAGGCCTACTGGTCATTAAATGCCACTTAAATTACATTGCCTCCACGAGGCCTTGCCAGTGGCCTTACAAGTACCAGAATATCAGCAAAAGATTAACACTTCCCACTTTGCATATTGTTTAGAGCTATGTTATCTCCCCAGTGTGTTCTAGCTACATAAAGCACATCTAAATCCATGCACTGGCAGACCTTACCTGTATTCCCCAAAGCTTATATCCAAGCTAAACATATAAGAGTAGAGCATATATTCCATTAAGGGTTTATTCTTTTCAGTTTGTTTATTTTATGTGTATGAGTGTATATATGTGCACTACATTGTTATAAATAGTACAGGGAGGCCTTAGAGTCTTAGTTTCAGAGCACTCGCCAACGATGGTGCTGAGTTAACTTACGTAAACTGATTTTCACAGTATTCACTGAACATGGTGACAATAATGTCAAGCACGATTTTTGCCTGCAAAAGAAAAAATACAAATATTATGGTAACTTATAAGGTATATTCTCACTCACTTCAGATGTAATGAATATTTATTATAATTTAGTCTTCAAACACCTAAAAATGAACCCTTACATACACACTCTAAGAAAGGAAGTAGAATAAAAACGTAGGAGCGGGCTCGTTCTTATCTTCAGGTGTTCTCTATTTATGCAGCTCTCTGAGAGTTACAATCCATGACTGAAACAAATCGTTTCGTTCCCCCACCCCAACCCTGGATTATGAGGTTTCAGGAGAGACAAATGGCTAGTTACTGGAGTAAATGTTATCAATTTCGTAAGTCTCTGAAGCCAGACTGCAGAAATCCTGGCTCAACCACTTACTAACAATGTGACTTTAGATGATCTATTTTATTCTCTCTGCACCTCAATTCTCTCTTTGGTTAAGGAGAGATAATAAAAACTCCTACCTTTGGCAACTATAAATGAACAAACAAATGCAAAGCACATGGAGTATCTCTAACATGTATGTAGTAATAAGGGCCATATAAGTTCTTAGGGTAAAACAATCCTTATTGGGGGGAGGCGAGTCTCTTAAGGGTCTCGTTTGCACATGCCAACCTCCTATTGCTATAGGATCTCTCTATTTGGTTATCTGCACACCCTCCCTTTATTTTTGGTTGTGAGCCTAGCCTTTAACGGCTGAGCTATCCCTCCAGCCCACACACCCTCCCTTTATACATGGCTTTACTTACCATGTATAAAGAGGTCATATGTCACAGAACAAAGCTTTCCTAGCAATCCAATCCAACATTTGTAGTAACTGAAAGTGAGTGGACAACTAGGAAGCTGCACAATGTAGATACCGTCAGGAATGTAAGCTATGAAGTAACTAAAGACAAAGGTTCTTTTTACCCAGTTCTTCTGCTTTGGCTTTTTTGTTTTTGTTGGTTTTTTTGATACAATGTTTCCAGTAGCCCAGGCTAGCTTTGAACTTATATAGCCGAAGAGGACCCTGAATTCCTGACCTTCCTGGGCCTTTCAAGGGCTGGGATTCTGGGCACACCACTCCCATTCCCAGAACAGCTAGCTCTTTTTTTTTGAAGAAAAACTTTGCAAGTACACAGAAGCACAGACTACTCACTCAAATTAAGCTGACGAGGAAACACGACTGCAGTCTCTACAGTCACATGTCTATCTAGTTAACATTGAATGCTCAGTAAGCATTTGTAAATTAATGGAAGTACCATAAACAAGCTGAATATTATCCACATCATATTAATTTTCTAGATTTCGACAACATGTTCCCACCTCTTATAACATTTTAAACTTTAAAATCAGTCTTGGCCCAGAAGCAAAATGTATCTTGTCTGGCATATAAGAGTTAAAAAAATTTTTATTTACCTTAGTGAAATCAGTTCCTGTGCATTCAATAAATATATTCCTAGTATTCACTGTTATTTTTGAATGATTCCCTATGAACAATAATCAACAAACATTTCAGAGTCATGGCATAATACAAACCTTAACTTAAAAATAATCACATTTTAAACTTAGAAAATAATCTAAATACCCTAGGATATACAACTTTTTTCCTTTGATTTTTATAGATAAGGGTATCATTACTCCAGCTTAACCTAGAATTCCCTATATAGCCCAAGCCACAGTGATTCTTGCGCCTCAGTTTCCCAAGTACTGGTGGTATAGATATGGGCCACTATGCATGGCTACGGGGTATGGAACATTTTCCTTATACAAGTATTTATTTAGTGTGCATGCCATGGTACATATGTGAAGGTCAGAGGACAACTTGCAAGAGTTGTCCCCCTTCCACCATGTAGGTTCCAGGAATCAAACCCAGCTCAGCAGGTGTGGAGTCAAGTGTCTTTACCCTCCACTGAGCCATGCCTCCAGACCTGGGATATGAGACTTTTAAGCTACCAAAGCAAGTTGGAAAATACTGATGCTCTTCGCCATCTTATGACATAACTGCAAACAATCCCAGCACTCAGGAAGGAAAGGTGGGTGGACTTCTGTGAGTTCAAGGCAAGCCTGGTCTAGACACCAGTTTCAGGGCATCCAGGGCTATGTGGAAAAACCGCCTCAAAGCATAAAACAAACAACAAAAAGATAACTAAGGTTTAGAAAGATTATACCACCTGATCATTATCACAAACTATGAAACACTAAGGTTAAGGTTAGTTTGAATCTAGTTAACTTGGAGGTCCACATTCTTGACCATCAAAACAACAGTCATGCACAGTCTCAACATTTTCCTCTCATCCTGTGTCAGCTAAACCTCCTTCTGATCTCCCCAAAGACACACATCTGTGGCTTAGGCATCATTAAGTAAACACATTTAAACTGCTTCATAAACTTCCTTCACAAGAGAATTAAGAGTACAACATCTAAATAACAGTTTTAGTTTGTAAAACTACAAATCAGAGCTTGAGTTCAACAAAGAGACTTGCCATTAATACCAAAACATCTAAATAAAAGCAAACAAACAAACAGAAATGTATCTCTTTCTCTTTTTTTACCCAAAGGGCCAGTGCACTTGCCACTTAAGCCTGGCAGCCTAAGTTCAATCCTGGAGCCCACCCACATGGTGAAGGGGGAACTGACTCTTGAAAGCTGTCCTCTGGCCACCACACATGCCATGGTATGCATGCTCCCACACCAGACCATGCACATACACTAGCCAGACACTAAAAATACCTAAACTATCAATCACCCTCAAAGAATGAGACAGAACCCATGGATTAGTATCAGAATATGCTTTAACATGCATAAACATTTTTACAGATACAAATTAAATGCACACCCTATATCATTCTCAATAATACAGATTTTTACATAAAAATCAGCAATTAAACTAAAGGTTTTGAAACATACATAAAACAAACTTTTAAGATAAAATCTACGGGAATGGAGAGATGGCTCAGTGGCTTAGAGCACTTGTTGCTCTTGCAAAGAATCTGGGTTCAGTTCCCAGCACCCGCATGGTAATTCATAACTTTCTGTAACTCCTGCTCCAGAGGATTCAATGCTCTCTCCTGGCCTCACCAGGCACACATGTGGTCAGAGTCACCATGCAGGCAAAACATTCATACACATAAAAAATATTTTTATATTTTTAAATAATAAGATCCACAAAAGACCTGAGATTCAGCCACCCTATTATATAAAAAGAGGAAACTGCAAAGATCCATTCTCTTCATGAAGTTCCTTACCATTTATTATAGGAGGCAGTGAGAGGACCACACCATTGCTGTCATAGATAACTGGATACAGGGGCTTATTCTCAATGATATGTAAATAATGCTTAAGGTGGCTGTCAGTCTGAAAAGAATTCAAGCAAAATTATTTATTTCTACTTTAACAAGCTGACATTAACCTAATCTTTAAAAAGTCAGAAAAACACCAAAAATGTCCTAAACGACAGACAGCTATAAACTAATAAACTTTTCCAGTATAAATGGGCATCTTAATGTTTGCATACAGTCTCTCCTATCAGTGTGAGATGAGAAACTGGTCACTTTCCCAGAGTGAAAGTAGATTTGTACTGGCACTGCCAAATCATCAAAAACAAAATGCAGCCATCACAAAATTAAAAAAGACAAATTAAATCACCGGTAAGTTAGGAGAAACGATCTATTTCTTCTTGTTATTTTCAATGTTTAAGTGATAGCTGAATCCATTCTCACTGTTGAGGTCCTAAGATGCTAATAACAGAGGTAGATATTTTGCAATGGCATTCCTCACATATACAAAATAGCTAAATTTCTAGTTAAACATGCAAGAATTAGCCCATATAAAATTATTTACCCTTAGATTATACTGTGTCAGAATACATTCTGGTTTATGAGTAGAATAGGATTCCCAAACATTTCTGAAATGCTCTGAACAAATCTCTGTCATTCTGTGTTCTATTATTTATAGGAAACATTGGCGATTATAAAATCAAATATCAATCAACTCTGAAAAACACTGAGATGTTCCATATCATTGAGTATCAAATACTCATCCAGGATTTCAGCCTTTAAGTAAAAATAAGCAAGCATATCAAGCTCATTAGTATGTAATTTGTTCTTAGCTTTAATAAATGAATACATGTATGACATAAACTGTATCTAAACTAAATTCACTTATTTAAAATGAGTCATTAAAATATGGAATAATTAATATTCATAAACATTTAAATAAATCATAAGTTTTATTTAATAAATATTATTGCTGAATATTCAAGTGGATGTTGCAATAAATTATTTGAATAAACAAATGAATACAAATGGGGTTATTTAAAATAAGTTTCTTTATGACTTATTATCAGCAAATACTTGATTTCCACACCTGTGTGCTACACCTGTATGACTGCAGTCACGTGAGAAGAGGTCATCGAGCAGGAAAGCTCAAAAAGCCCTGGTGCAGAGCCCTTTCTAAGTCAGGTGGACCCATTTCTTTGGGACAGAGCCCAGGCACTCCTGTTTCCTAAAAAGAATTCACTATCTTTTCCTAACTCAAGACTTGACACGCACACACACACTAAAACAGAAGACTTTTTTACCTTGTATATATTCATTAGTTCGCAAGCTGTATACTCCTTGGTCTTATTCAGAGGCTTGAATTTGATATCTGAAGGACGTTTTGCAGTGAAAGTAAATGGGCCTGATAAAGTGTCCAAGTCATGAGTGCCAATAGCAACCAATGCTCTTTTTCTAAACATTAAAAGAGAAAAAGGAGGAGGAAAAGTGAAATGAGAGCGAGACATCTTAATATTCTTAAGATAAAAGACCATGTGATGGGGAAGTCCTGTGTATATGTCAATAAAGCACTGTTGGCCATTAAGGAAGCAAGATAGGTGGGACTAGGAGTCAAGGAGGATTCTGGGAAAGAGAGGCAGAGTCAGTCATGATGTAGCCGCTATAAGAATAAGAGATCCAGACCCTTTTCTCCGGTAAGAGAAATACTTGGATTAACAATTATGAGGTAAATATTTAAGTCAGAGATAGCCAGTAAGAAACCAAGCAAACAGCCAACAGCTTCATAATTAATACAATGTCTTGTGTGTTATTTGGGGGACTGTAACTGTGGCAGGGCCCAGGCGGATGGCGGGGAAGGCTGCACTCTACAACCATGTTTTAAAATTTTATTTTAAACATTTCCTTAAAACTGCCCATGGCTGCTACATAACATCTTTATTGCAATATAGCAAATTCTCACAATCATTGAATAGTGAGAACAAAGTATTGGTTAAACATTAATAGCAGAAATAAATGCTTTCCCAAGTATTGTGTTCTTATGGTATCTTAAAATTGCTTCAGTATGGATGGGCACACATATTTAGAGACGCATTTATAAATGACATAAAATGTACAATATTAGATAAGCTGGGGATGTAGCTCTTTGGCAGAGCTCTTGCCTTACATGCACAAAGCCCTGGGCTAAAGTCCCAGTACTGAATAAAAAAACCAAACAAGCGGATGAAAAACAGTGTAAGTGAATAAAAACTGTAATAGCTATGGCTGCACTGGGCAGAATTATTACCAAGCAGAAAGGATCTGTTATTCAATGAGTTAGTAATAGAACTACCATACAACGAAATACATGGGCCCCTGAGTTTAGATAAATGAACAACTGTCAAATTCATGGATAACAATGATCCATGAAAATCAAGGGATGGGGGCACAAAGGATAAAAAAAGCTCAAGGAAACTACAAATATGTTCTGTGAAAGACTAACAAACTAATAAGCTTCTACACTGACAAAAGTAGACAAAGAGATAATGGGAATTAAGGAGGCAGCACTGCAACAGACAGTACAACTACCAAAGGCTAAGAGAGCATTAGGAACAACTTCATGGCAATCTGTGATAACCAGGATGTCAACTTCCGAAACTCTCTGAAGACATTCCTTAGGAGTCACGGGCAGCAACTGCCTCTAGATGCCTGCGGGTTAGCATGCACTCTAACATATTCTACTTTGCTGCAGGCAGGTCGTTTCCATCGTATTGCTGTTGCCCACTGCACTCTTACAATGTACAATAAACAACTTTTTTCTTCAAAATAAATTCAGTTTATTATTTTGCTTAGTAATGGCATATATCAGCAAGCTAAAACAGATTTTTTTAATATAGAAAGACTAAGAATATTATTTAGAATCCTAGGAACATGTTTTTACTATCTGAGCAAAAAAGAAAATATATAAGCACTAGCTACCAAGTTTGATTTGTAGTTTTAAGCATTTTTCAACATTGAAAATACCCAGAGTTCTCCTTCTAGACTGTCACTGGCCTGTCCCATATATACCACATATATATCCCTCCAGTCAGTGTAGTTTCATGAGCTTCAATTATTAATTCGCTTTTCTATCTTTTCTCAGTTTTCTATTTTAAAGAACATGTAATGTAACTGTCAGTATTATCTTTGGATCAACATAACTTGTTTTGAAATCAACACAAAAGAGCTAAAGCTAGAGTTTCTCACCATTAATAAACACAAATAGCTAAAGCTAGAGTTTCTCACCATTAATAAATATGCAATTTTCTTTTTTGTCGTTTATTTAGACAGGGTCTACATACACAGTCCTGGCTAGCTTGGAAGTAGGCTGGCCTTGAGTATACAATGAACTTCCTGCCTCTGTCTCCTAAGTGTTAGAATTACAAATGTGTACCGCCAGCCGGGCATTGGTACATATTCTTCAGAGGAAATTAAGATGTATTTTATTTTGAGAATTTTTAATGGCTTGTCTTCAGATAATTGGAAATGTGCTACAGTTTGGTACTTTCTAAGAACATTTAAAACATGAACTAGAGCTGGGCGGTGGTGGCACACACCTTTGATCCCAGCACTAGGAAGGCAGAGGCAGGTGATCTCTGTGAGTTCGCGGCCAACCTGGTCTACAGAGCAAGTTCCAGGACAGCCTCCAAAACAATACAGAGAAGCCCTGTCTCGAACAAACAAAAACAAAAACAAAAAACAAATGTGTACCACCATACCTGGCCATGAATTCATTACATCTGCCCCCTTTGTTAAACAGGGTCTCACTCTGTTGCTGGCCCCGAATTCAATCTTTAGATTGTACTGGCCTCTAACTCACAGCAATCTGTCTGCCAAGGAAATGACTTCAAGAGTCCCATTCTTACCTTCCCTGACTCTTAGGATGCGGGAATAGAAGGTTAAGAACACTGCACTAGAGAAAACAACACGGGAAGTGACGTGTCACAAAGCTCAGCAAGGCTCAGGCTGGGCATCTGCCTAACACGACTGAGGCCCTGCGGTTAGCACACAGAACAACCAAAAGAGATAAATAAACTATGGCCACTGAAGTTCAGGTTGCTTCTATTTAATTTCTTTTCAGTGTTGTGATCAAGCCTAGGCCCACACTACATGATAGGTCTACGTTTATCCCTGCTCAAGTTTTATATGTCAAAATCTAATTATACTTATTAAGAAAGTAGACCAAACAAAGAAACTTTTCCATTTTCTAAATGCCAGACTATCCTTCAAATTACCATGGTTTATTCTTGACAATGCAATTAATAGGGATCTAAACAAGGTTGGGGGCACATAGCTCAATGGTAGAGTATTTGCATGCATGCACAAGGATCTTGGTTTGACCCCAGCATACATAAACAAACAAACCATACTTACAAACATAATTTTTAATGATTTCAACAGAAAGAAAATAAGCAAGAAAACTTCTAGGAATAAAAATTCTCTACATACCACACATAAACCATTCTTAAGATTTTTTGTTTGTATTTATGTTTTATACGTATATCTGTATATGCACACACATGTGCAGGTCTCAAGAAGCCCTGAGGCTGTCACATGACCTGGTGCTGCATCATGTGGGTGCTGGGAACCAAAAGCAAGGGCAGCAAGTACTCTTACCATTGCACCATCTCTCCAACCACACACACACCAGTTTTAAACAGTAACAAACATCTATCTGGTACAGCAAAGTAAAAGTCTTCCATGACCAGAGTTTAGAAATGTCTTGAAAAGCAATGTGCAGAACGCTGTGTGGTGGTTTGAAAGAGAATGGCTCCAACAGGCTCATGTTTGAATGCCTGGTCCTCAGGCAGTGGAGTACTTGAGAAAGAGTAGGATGTGTGGCTTTGTTGGAGGAACTGTATCTCTGGGGGTGAATTGGAACTTTCAAAAGCTTGTGCCGTGCTCAGTGTCTCTCTCTACCTGCTGCCTGCAGATCAGGATGTAAAGCTCTCAGCATGGTGCCTGCCTGTCTTCCTGCCACTATGCTCCTGCCATGATGGCCACAGACTAACCCTCCAAAACTGTAAGCAACGCGCCCCCAACTGAACGCTTCCTCTCATTATAAGTTGTCTTGGACATGGTGTCCCTTTTCAGTAATAGGACAGTAACTAAGACAGGTAGGTACATGAGACAAGCAGATAGGAAGCAGAAGGGATAGAAAGGAAACCAGAGGGGGAAACAGGATGAAGCCCCATGAACCTGCAAATATTCTGGTGTAGTTTCTCTTGAAGTTCAATGAAGCTGTCGTATCGATCTTTCGTGAACTTGATATTCCGGAGAACTGCTGCTACAGCAAAAGGGCGTACTTTAGCTGTCTGGAAGTCAGAACACCATCAAGACAGTTAGTACTATAGCTTTTCTTTGTCAAAACATCCTGATAGGGTCACAAATTTTGATTCAAACAGGCATATAAGTCAATCAACAAGGAGTTAAGTGGTAAGCAGGAGATACAGGTATTACACAAGCAGGATGTACATTTCAGTACAATTTCTGAATACTACATAAGTAAAGAACAATTAATCTTAAATAATTTGTTCATAGGCCTTACTTTACCATATTTTGCCTTTATAAATTTTATTAATGTACCATAATTTAAACAACTGTATCTCAAATATGTCTTATTCATTGAATCAATTTTTTTTATAGCAGACATTGAACATGGGCACCTCTCAGGCTAATCTACCACTGAGCTATACCCCCGGTTCTCACGCTTTTTCTTTGTTTTGATTTGGACTTTTTACAACAGGATCTCTCTATGTACCCCGGGCTAACTTCAAATTCACTGCACAGATGATGATGGCCTTGAATTCCTCATCTTCCTGCCTTCACCCCCCAAGTTCTGAAATTAAAGACTTGCACCATCATACCTGGCTCAAGTGTGCTTTATAAAAGCAATTTACTTTGGTTTTTTTCATTTCTTAGTAGTAAACTGACCGTCTTTTAAAAATTATTATTTTATTTTATATGTGCAGGTATTTTTACTTCTTAGCAGTAAATGACCATCTTTTAAAAATTATTATTTTATATGTGCTGGCATTTTGCCTGCATATATGCCTGTGCATCGCATGTATGCTTGGTGCCCACAGAGGCCAGAGAGACCATCAGATGGTTGTGAACTGCCATATGGGTGCTGGGAATGGAACCCAGGTCCTGTGTAAGAGCATCCTGCACTCTTAACTGCTGAGCTGTCTCTCCAGCCCCATAAACTGACAATTTTTAAAGGAGAGAAACTGCAAACGCACCAATCTTAACACATGACCACAGGAAATGACATTTGGCAGAAATGCTGGCTTTGTTGCTTTTTCCTTCCTACCTTATTGATACATGCATAAAGGGGGAGGGGCTAATAGAAAAATAAGAACTTTTCCTATTACCTCTTCTGTGATAATCAATTTTTGGATTTCTCCCTTAGGCATTACTCGTTTATATACTGGAGCTTTTATCCTAAAATAATATTAAAACAAAGTTACTCAAAATAGTAAGACTATTTGATAATTACATCTTATGCTTATAAACATAAGGTACATATACATAAAATTAATAGAATTAGGGAAACAGGTTAAATTATAGTAAGTCAGCTTGGCTTGAACATTAAAAACAAGAAGAAAAAAAACCAAAAAAACTGCAAGCTTCCTAACATTTACAATTCTCCAAAAATGCCCACAATACCCTATAGTAATGAGTCTCTCACTGGAGTCCCAGCAAAGACCACAAATCTATTAACAGAGCAACAAGTGTTCAAGGCCCTGGACTAGACAGTGTTTAGGCTTCATTGCAACCACAAGATTCTAAGTTTTTAAGAATAAATTAAGTTCATTGGTGTTGAGAACAGTGCATGCCTGGTTCTATCCAAAGTTACTGAATCAGAGAAGGCAGTGTAAAAGCTTGGTAACTGGTACAGGATGAAGCCATTTCTAGCAGCCTGTATCACGCAAAGTTAGGCTCTACTGTAAGTCAGTTCCTCTCCGGCTCACTGAGGAGCTCACTGAAGCTCAGATCCTAGCTCTCTTGTGATGCAAATGCTACTGACTTATGGGCCAAACTTCTAATTGTAAAGGTTGAAATCACATCCTAACTTTGTATAGACATAAACATTCACAAAACATTTATTGAAAATATATATCCTAGACAGGAATGGCTGTACATACATATAATCCCAGCACCTGGAAGGCAGGGACAGGAGAATTACCACAGATCCAAGGCCGGCCAGGGATATATAAAAAGGCCAACCTTTTCAGTATACACACATAAATACCTATATCCATGAATTTAAAAGAAAAAAGTAAAAGATCCTGACCTGGGGTATTAAAATCCAGTCATTTAGTTGTCAAGTATAAAAGCAACTGAAGAAACCCACAAACACAAAACACTTAACCAAATAACCAATAATCATTTCAAATATTCATTTCACCCAAGCATTTCATAATTTTAGAATGCCCAGAAACCAAAGGCACACTCCCTTTTGCAACTGACCAGATGATACGTAAGTAAATAAAAACAAAAATAATATTGTGATAGCTTTATTTTCATCTTCTTTATCTTACATATTTATCACCTTCTACATTTACTGCATGCTGAGTTTGAAGGGCCTTAAAAAATCCTCATTACACATCAGGAGACTAAAACTAGAGAAACCACGTTTAACATGCCCAAGACCATCCACCCACCATAAATATACACAATTTCCACAAGAGTCTCTACCCCTGGCTCCTTATAATTATTAAGATAAAGGCAAATAAAGTTCATTGTCACTCTATTTTTCCCTCATGCTTTAACAGATCTCATGAACTGTTCATCACACTGGGATTACTGAGGGAAACTACAGAACCTTGCTGAAAGACTTTCATGGTATCCCTAAGATCATGTACTCCCAGCTTTAAACTATGTTTCCCAATTTTGAAATGGCTACAATCCACATGACTCTTATCTTCCAATCATCATTTATGCTGACCTAAAGCTCTGTTACCCATACGAAGTTTTCCCTAGAAATTTAAGCCTGATTACTGATAACAGTGGAGAGAAAAGAGGAGAGTCAATGTGCACAGTTCCTTACCTTTCTTTGAAGACTTGAAGTCCCCGAGCCAATCCTTCCAGACACAGGAGATCGTATCTGTTGGCAGGCACGTCAACCTTGTAAAGCACAACATCTGAGGCCCCCTGTGCCTTTACATTGCCTTGTTCCTTACTTATGATTTGCTTCTCAGAAGTCTAAAACAAGCCAAAGAAGTTTAATAAACTACAAAATATATCTTTTCTGCTGCAACAACAACAACGACAGAAAAAATGCTACACATGTCATAACCACAGCAAACAGAAAAATACTGTTTTTCACTCCCAGAACACTATAATCCATCTAAAGCAACATCAGCATATAGTGGCCCACCAGCCAAATCATGCACCCCACTTGTTTTTGCAAATAATGCTTTACTGGAACACAGATAGACACAAGTACATGTTATTATCTACTGTCACACACTGAGACAACTTAGTTATGGGAGAGACAACATAACTCCAAAGCCATGGTCAGTATCTGCCACTTCACACAAAAAAATTTGCCATCCAAAGGAAATGGAAAAAATCGTCAAGGATACAGAGGACAACACAAATGTCAAAAAGATACAGATGAGTCACTGCATGAAAGAAACAAACTCTGACAACCCTGGCAAGTAGCCCCACAGCACACACGCCTAGAAGGAACACGAGGACAAAAGTAACAGTACAAAGGCAAATCAGAACACCCAGAGAGCAGAACTGTGCTGAAAATGAGGGACAACAGAAGCTATGGAAGCCACGGAGAGAGAGCAAACAGAAGAGCCAAGGAGTCCACCACAGCAGCGACTCTAATACAGCAGCAGAGCTTAGAAGATGTCTGTTCAGACTCCGGGTAAAAAAGAATCATTAACTAGTATCAAATGAGAAAGCACTCGGGAGGCAGAGGCAGGTGGATGTCTGTGAGTTCGAGGCCAGCCTGGTCTACAAAGCGAGTTCCAGGACAGCCTCCAAAACAATACAGAGAAACCCTGTCTCGAAAAACCAAAAAAAAAAAAAAGAAAAGAAAATTTCATCACAACTCAAAGTTGGAGTCAAGTTAAGTTCAAGTGTTACTATTACCCTTTATATAGAAATGCTACTCACTGGGAATCCCACCAACGACCTGCCAAAGGCACAGAGGCTCTGCAACACACCACACTTTCTGCTTTCTATAACACCTTCCTGCCACACACTTACTAAGCAAGCCTATCCACAGTAAGAATTACAACCTGCTACCCGAGGAAGGAAGACTATCAAGATGGACAGAGGGGGTCAGGGGGCAATGTACAATGACACATATATGAACATGTCACACTGAAACCCATTTTTTCATATGCTACTCAAAAATGGGGAGAGAGATAATTACAGCTTGTATTTGCATGGTTTGGGGTGGGGGGACCCTCACTTTGGTCACTAAGCACTGCAGACCCTGTCACCCTTGAGAATGCCATGGGTCCAAAGTGTTGGGACTGTTTAAAACACATCTAACCTAGTCCTCAAACTTAAGAGGCAAAACAGAAAATCAGAGAAAATTATAAAAATGAGGAAAGAGAAAGAAAGAAGAGGGGAAAGGAAAGAAGAGGATGGAAGGAGACCAAAGAAAAAGAATTAAAAGTGAAATAATGTTTGACTGAAACAGTAATAAGATGTAATGTTTTCCAATGAAGAAAGCTTAAATTCTTTCTGGGATGGCAGATAGCAGAAGAGCAGAAGAAGAAAGAAGAAGAAAGAAGAAGAAAGAAGAAGAAAGAAGAAGAAAGAAGAAGAAGAAGAAGAAGAAGAAGAAGAAGAAGAAGAAGAAGAAGAAGAAGAAGAAGAAGAAGAAGAAGAAGGCCAGGCGTTGGTGGTGCACGCCTTTAATCCCAGCACTCGGGAGGCAGAGGCAGGCGGATCTCTGTGAGTTCGAGGCCAGCCTGGTCTACAAAGTGAGTTCCAGGACAGTATCCAAAGCTACAGAGAAACCCTGTCTTGAAAAACCAAAAAAAAAAAAAAAAAAAGAAGAAGAAGAAAAAGAGCTCTAAATAAAGAAGTGGAAATAACGTGGTAACCCGAGAAATGAAAGTTTCTGAATAAAAAGTAGCTTAGTACTTGTAGGGGGCATCAATGTCATTTTCAGACTCAATTCCAAGCTAGGTTTGGAGTACGACCTGATAGAAACAAAAGAGCCATAAATATATTCCAGAGTTGGAAATCATAATCATATGAAGCAAATCATCTGTTTCTCAAAAATGAGACAAATTGTGAGATCAAAAAGGTAAGTAATCCTCCTGAAAACAGTACAGAAATGCCCCAACTGCTAGAGTCTAACCCATAAGTTAATAACACAGCAAACTCTTTAAAAAAGAGAGAAGATAGGGTGGGGGTCATACAAACTAGTTGGCTATCTAATATCAAATGGCCAGCCCTGAAAGCATATATACACACAAGCAGCACTATACAGTGAGGTTTTAATTATGTACTTGGAAATAAGTATATGTGTGTGTATACACATACGTATGTAAGAACAATTAAGAAAAAAGAAGTCATTTATTTAAAAAAGAAGGAGGGATACATGGAAGGGTTTACAGGGAGGAAAGGGAAGGAAGAAATAATATAATTGTATTATGATCTCAAAAATGAAAATTATTTTAAATAAAGTTTTTTAAGGGATTAAAATTTGCAACACAAATTCATCAAACAAACAAAAAACCCTTAGGGCTTATTTAACAATAATCAGAAAACATTTTTTTAAAATGAGCTCATAGACAGAATATCTTTAAAATAAAAAAGTCTGATACATACAATTTCATCAAGTTCCAAACCAAATTCAAAACATAGCTCGTCAAATTCTTCATCAGCTAGGAGAGAAAAAAAAGAATGTTAATTCTAATGTGTTCAGTACAAATGAAAACTGCCTATGAATAAATGGACCTTACCTACTGCTTAATTTCCTAACCCTGGACATTGTATCAGGCATCAAATATCACTATTAAAAAACAAAAACAACAACAAAAAAAGGCTTGCCAGTGTTTTTTTGCCTTTGGTTTCGGTTTTATGAGGGCTTTTCTGTATAGCCTTGGCTGTCCTAGAACTTGCTCCATAGACCCGGCTAGTCCCCAACTCACAGAGATCCACCTGTCTCTGCCTCCCAAGTGCCAGGATTAAAGGCATGCACCACCACTGGCCAGCTTAAGTTTTTTGTTTTTGTTTTTTTTTAAGCTCAGAAACATGTGTAATAGCCATATAACAGGTCTATAAACTGACTAAACCAACAAAGTTCTCCTATGTGCTTTGGTTTGCCACCAAATAAAGCATCTCCAGGGTTTCACGTTATCAAACCCTGAACACAAACCATCAAAACCACCACATGTTAGTGAAAAGCTAGACAGATGTTTTAAGTTCCAAGGTAAAAGGTGGGACTTAGTATGTCAAAGGCCACTCTCTAGCATCAAAACAATAACAAGGAAAGATTTGCCTGATGCAAACATCAACCAACAATTAAAGGGCTGATTACTCTAGACTAACATTAACTATAGAATTTGGTTACCAGTGCCAAGATGTCTGTTCAGACTCCGGGTAAAAAAGAATCATTAACTAATATCAAATGAGAAAGCAGACTCATAATCATAGAAACTATATATACAAAGGAATGTCACTAAACCTTGGTATTTATATAAGATTCTCTCAGGCAGCCCAATATTTGTTTTCAGAACCACACTAACCAGGGTTTTGACTTCTACCTTACTCATAAGGAGGGCTCAAACCTTATGTAAACTTCACCAACACCCTTATCTGTAAAACCACCATTTGCCCACATTTTTAGCATGGAACCTTAAAAAGATGTAAATGGACCTGGCATAGTACCCTGAAACACTGTGAGTCTGCAAAACTAATAGTTCTCTGCCTTATTTCGATTTGGCTTGTTACCTAATACAGCATTTTCATGGTCTTCACTTATCAAACATTGAACAAACACCACAATTACCACTATATTCTAGTGAAGAACTAGATGTCTTAGGTTTCCTGAACCAGGACTAGGAGTTGGCCTCGGTGGCAGAATGCATGCTTAGTATGTCACAGACCCTAGGTTCAGTTCCCAACATCAAAATAAAATAACAACAAAAGACTTGTCTGATCTAGACATCAAACTTCAATTCAATTTAGCAAATATTTACTGCCATTATGTGCCAAGCAACAGTACTAGATGCCAGGGCTACAAAGATAAATAAATTACAATTCCTGTCTGAACTACTTCCCTCTCTAGCAAAGGAATCATAAGTGTAAATAAATATAAGTAAATATACCCAGTAAAGGTGTAGAGTGGCAGAGTTCCTCTTAGGTTCACTTATAGCTACATAAAGGATGTCTTCATTAGCTAAAGATTGGAGGGAGTGAATCAAGGGCTTGGCAAAGCTGGGAACTCCTAAGTAGTCCAATATGGTGAAGAATAAAGTTTGTGTTAGGAAGAAATAGGATACAAGAAGTAGAAAAAGGGTAGCTCATGACATGCCAAGAGACTTGCCCTCTGTCCTACCCGCAGGCAATGGGAGTTACACTCAGAAGCCTTTCAGCTTGGCAAAACAGGGTTAGATTTGTTTTGCTTTTTTCCTTTTTCATCCTTAGTTTCAGATCTTTCTGAAACAAGGCCTTATATGTAGGCCAGGTCAGCCTGCAACATGTATGTATGTATGTATGTATGTATGTATGTATGTATGTATGTATGTCAGGGCTGGTCTCTAACTCCAGATCCTCCTGCCTCAGACTCCCATGTGTTTCTATCATAGGCATGAGGCACCAAGCTTGGTTCCCTACTACATTTGCATTTTTTAAGACTGGTGGCAGGGTGGAGGAATACTGAAGAGAGTCTCCTACAAGTGAAACACAGAGGTATACACTTAAGCCAACAGCATATGGGGAAGAAGGAACCTGAGAAATGTTAGCAGCCTTACAAGGCTCAGTGACTGTAATTACAGGATGAACAGTGAGGGAGGAAGGGAACAAGAGTAGGATGGCTCCCAGCTCTCTGGCTTAGGTGAAAAGGGCGAGGCCACCATTAACTTGTGCATGTAGTGACTGAGATAGCTAGCCTCCAACATGGCCTGCAACGATCCTGCCTGAGTGTCAACTTACACATGATGCAACCATCTCTGTGAGCTAAGAAGCAGATGCTCAGGCTAAGCCGATCCTTGAGGCAACTACAGTTCTAGCTGACAGCTTGCATTGCAGCCCATCAAGAGCCTTAGAGTCAGAACCACCCAGCTACCCCACTCTGATTCCTGTCGCTTAGATACTGTGGGAAGCAACAAAAGCATATTGCTTTCTACTTCTAAAAACTGGGACAATTTGTTATGTAGCAATAGATTACTAATACAAATCTTAGCCTCTGTAAAGGGAGTGGTACTATAACCAAAACTGGGGGAATGGCTTTGGAGTCAGACAGCAGGCTTTGAGGAAAACCGACATAAGAAAACCAAAGGGAAGAGCCTAAAGAACACTATTAGCTGAAGTCTCATGGTCTTGAATCAGGATACAGGGGAAGAACGGGAGGAAAGTGAAGTAGTACTGCAGGAAAATAGAAGGGTATCCCTGTTACATAGGCAGAGATGTGATCAGTACCATTCCTGCAGGTACAGGGACTAAAGCAAATGTTCTTACCTGACAAAACTAAGATGTCTAATCAGTGCTCAAAGAGCAGCCTATTTGTTGACTAGTTTTATTTTTACCACTTATATAAGAAGAGATTGACACGGGAAGAGCTATTAAACAAAAAAGAGCCAGGATGTTAATGGGTAAAAAAGTTTTGCCTTCCAAATGTAAAGTAATGCTAAAATTAAGTAAGTTCTGGGCAGAGACCAAATCCTAGGCTTAAGATAGAATCAAGGGTATGCCTGAAAACCTCCAGTCAGATCAAACAAAAGGTGTAAAAAAGAAATGAAGGGTGTGCCTCACAAATCCAATTAATAAAACAATAAAATGTAATTAAGAGCACTGTATGAAAAAGTCCAGAGTACTGAAACAGCTAATTTCAGAGGTTTTTGGAGTCTGTGGTTTTTAATGAAAAGGAATCCACCAAAGACCCAGAAAGTTTTTAGAAAAAACACTTGGGCAGACATAGCAGGCTTGAACTGAAAGGGGCGGAAACAAGACAAAAGGAAGTCTTTGAGGCCCTAAAATTCTATTAACAGGAAGTAGACTGAGAAAACTAATCAGCTGTGAAGCACATGCATCCTGGGGATCACTCAGAGGGTGGAACCAGAGCCCAGAGGGCAAGGCAGAGCCATGGAGAATTATCCCAGGCCCAAGACCTAATCAGGACCATGCAGCATTTACCATTCGATTTCAGAACTGCCATGGACCAGTGGCTCCTTGTGAGCTCCACTTTCTTCCCTTTAGCAGCTACCCCAGGCCTGTCCCTCTACGGCATCTTAGATGCATGAGAGACACCTACCTCAGGGCTCGAGCTTCTCAGATCACTAGTTAACTCATCACAAGATGCTAAACTCAGAGAACTACATCCCCAGACCCTCATCCACCTCAGAACCAGATTTGGATGATGTGACTGTGGACAATGAGCTGCTGCTGCAAGATGACACTTCTGGGCCAAGTATACTTTGCATGTGGATGAATATGAAGCATTTGGTGATTGGTGGAGAGACTATGACACCAATGATACCTAACTGCTTATCTAGTCCCCTTTCACACCAGGTCAGGACTGGTGTGTGCAAACAAGAAAAGATGGAAAAGGATGGAACAGCACCTCTGAGCAATTATCAGTCACTGAGAATACTACTTGAGCTCTCCCATTTACCTGCTCTCCAGAGTTTTCTCCTTCTAAGGACAAATTGACAAAAGCCAAGGCGGAAGGAACCAAAAGCCCTGGCCAAAGTTAGACAGGTGAATTGGCCTGCTTAAGAGAACTTAGGGGTCAGCAGTTTAGAGCACTTGTTGGTCTTGCACAGGACCCAGGTTCGATTTCCAGAACTCACAAGGTGGCTTACAACCAAATGTTACTCAAGTTCCAGGGCATCTAATGCCTTCTTCATGCATCCACAGGCACCAGACATGCATGTAGTGCACAGCAAAACACTTATACATATAAATAAAATGGGTAAGTCTAAGTAATAATAATTAAAAAAAACAACTTAGTGTGGTGGTACATGCCTTTAATCCCAGCACTCAGGAGGCAGAGACAGATGGATTTATTATGAGTTAGAGAACCAGCCTGGTCTACAGAGGGGATTACAGGACCGCCAGGTCTACACAGAGGAATCCTGTCTCAAAAACCCAAAACCGAAGGAAGGAAGGAAGGAAGGAAGGAAGGAAGGAAGGAAGGAAGGGAGGGAGGGAGGGAGGGAGGGAGGGAGGGAGGGAGGGAGGGAGGGGGAGGGAGGGGGAGGGAGGGGGAGGGAGGGGGGAGGGAGGGGGAGGGAGAAAGGAAGGAAGGAAGGAAGGAAGGAAGGAAGGAAGGAAGGAAGGAAGGAAGGAAGGAAGGAAGACAAACAACAACTTAGAAGCAGCTTCTCCACCCCCAATAAGCTCTTGAGTTGACTACAGATCTGAAATCTGGAGTAAGACTCAGACCAGGACCATCAAACCTTGATTCTTAACCATCAGAAACTAATGAACAATTATTGCTATAATATATAAAACTTTTGTTGGCTAAACAGCAATGAAACAAACTGTTTGGATCTATTAAAATAAACCTTAATGCCATATTCCTTTAAGCTATATATGTTTTTTAAGAAACAAAAGAATCAATAATAAAATCACGAGTAATTTCCTTCAATAAAATAGTAGACCTAAAACACTATCTGCCGGTGAGGCCCACAGATGGCTCTGGCAGTATTACTATACCAAACTAGAACAGGGGCCAAACTGAAGAGCAATGATAAGAAAATGAGTAGCAAAAGAAAACAACTTAACAGAAAGGCAATCAAAATGCAGACTAAGAAGACAGAGTCATTCCCAAGAAGGCAGAGGAAACAAATGCCCTGAGTAACAAAAAAACGAGAGAGAAATGTGCTCCCTAACAAGACATGGGAAGTGACAGTAGCATCTGGAAATAACAATAGGATTTCAGATGGACAGCAACCCTGGGAGGGTCTAAATAAAAAAATGGATTGTAAGAGCACAGATGACACATTATCTGAAAACAGGCAAAGAGGGACATGAGGAAGAAACAAGTGGGATCTACACTTCATTTGGAAACTAGACGTTTTGATGAATAGGCTTTTCCATCTTCAACCACTCCACTGACACTTAAAAAGAATGGTTTCAAGAAGACACTGAAGAGTATTACTAACCCATCTGATGAATATCTCAATAACATCAGTATTAAGGGTAAAGAATTTCAAAACATCTTATAGTTAACCATCTGTGTGGAAAAATCAAGCTTACTTGATCAATTGCCATTTGAAAATGGGAAAAGGAGACAGAATTTATTAAAATATTATCTGATAATAACAAACGGGTTGTAAGTCCCATTATATTTTAAAATGCAGATAATCTCTTACTTTTCCAGAGATAAGGACCTGGCTGAGAACTGATTATAAACCTGTTAAAATTTTTACACAATACCCTGTGCTGTTCAGATACAGCAAACACCCCTAGAGAGAATATGGTGTGGGGTAAGTGAGGCATATAAATATAATCATATTATATGATGGAAAGTGGGTAGGAAGTGAGGGCCACGTTCCAAAGGCAAAGCTATTTCCTCTATTTCTAAGGTCTTGGGACAGTTCCTGCTCACAACTTGGGAGACTGAGTCAGAGGGATGGTGACAAGTTTAAGGCCAGCCTGGACTATACAGAATAAGGTTCTGTCTCGAAAGAACAACAAAAAAATCCTATGAACAACTAAAGGAAGATTAACAGAAAATGGGTTATATCTAAGAGTACACCTTTAGAAAAAAAATTTCAAAAGTTTATTTGCACAGTGTCAGTACAATGTTCTTATGAACAGCTACCTCTTGCTAAATACATCATTGAATACAGCTAATACCCCCCAAAAAGGCTTTCATAAATCACTTGTTATAATCTTTATACAAGCTGATAATTACAGGGTGGAGCAGGTAACATTTCAACTACTACATCCGTGTAGAAAATGATAATTTGCTTGATATTTACCTCCCTTTCCCCCCAGTGGTTTAGTTTGAGAACTGAGGAAGAGATGAAGTGTATCGTGAATACTAAGCCCATCGGAGAGACTGTCTATTCGGTTATCTATCAAATGCTGCTCCCGCACACCACCCGGCTTCCCTTCCTAGAAAACACTTAGCATTTCCAATAATCTATCTTATTAACGTCCTGGTTTGTTACTGTCTCGCCAAAATGAGATCGTACGTGTCTTGTGCACAGCTCTACTCTCTCACGGTGTCTGACACGCAACGGGAGCCCAGTCAACACTAAATAAAGCGAATGCCGGGCTTGGTGGCACACGCTTGCTGTCCCAGCCAAGAAGCTGAGGACGGCGGGTTCGAAGGCAGCCTGGACTGCATAGTGAAACCCACATCTTTCTCAAACGTCTTCCCTTCGCTGTCAATCTGGTTCCACAGAGCTAGCTACCTACACTGGCGATGCAACCCAGAGCATCCCTTCCTAGTCTGTGTCCCGACATCAGAGCCGGTGCTGGGCACGCCGTAGGCGCTGTCTCTGAATGGATGACACGGAGATCCCGACACCGGCGGGTGATGCCACGGCAGCCGCCGTAGAGCTGGTTCCGAGAAGCTACTTCAGGCCAGCCCAGCTTCCGCGCCCGTCAGCGCCCCCCTGCAGACTCCCGCCGAGCAAGGCCAAACCCCGCGTGGCGGCATAAACGCCGCCAGCACGGCCTTCTGCCGGGCGAGCCAGACTTCCCCCAGGCACCGAGCCCAGGCGACGGGGCGGGCACTCACTGTACGTCCGGCCCAGAGCTTGGAAGAGCAGGTCTCGCTTCACGCTGACAGTCGGCATGGCGAATCACGGACACTGCGCCTGCGCCACGTGCGGGGCCTCAGCTGCCGCGGCGCAAAGGACCCGCCGCGCCTCTCTGGGGCTGTCTCGGGTAATGCCTTTGTAAATCCAATAATTTGCACTCGCGTTTTTCAACTGAATGAGAGAAAAATGCCACTCTCCGGATAATTTATTAGAGATATATTGTGGCCCTAACTAAAAATCTTGGAAGCCAGACATAATTGGGTGGAATTATCTCTATTCTGACAGGCAACAGTACGGACAGACCCCGGGGGCCCGGATACTCCAAGGAAGCCCTAAGGAAGTTGCCGAGTGGGGTGGGCGGGGCACTAGGGAGGCAAGTAGGGAGGTGGGATGGACTTCCAGGTTGAGAGTCCTGCCTTGAGGTGTTGAAAAGAGGGCTAACCTGGTGCGAGGCTTTCGGGAAAGAAGAAGGTGCAGATACTAATGGCAAGGTCTGTTAATAGACCGGTTTTTTACCTCATTCTTTAACCACAGATTTTATACCCTTGTTTTGTTTGAACGAAACAGAAGACTTACAGGTAGACGTCGTTAGGGACCTCAGCCCTGCCCACTGCCCAATGCTGTACTCAGCCTAATGCCAGCACGAGCAGATTTCCTCCTTAGATAAGCCTGGGTCAAACAGTGGTGTCAGGAATTAATCGCGGGAGCCTGTAAATGCTGCTTTATGTGGTACCAGCGTCTGTGTGGAGTAAGTCAAGGGCTTTGAGATGGCGCTTAGCCAGGCTTATTAAGATAGGCCCTAAATGCAAAAATACGTGTAGCCTTGATCAGTGAAAAGCAGTGGTTTCAGTAAAGTCACCACCAAAACCAAAGCAAAAAAGTCAGAAGCTGTCTAACTAGAAGCGACAAGAAAGGATTCTCTCCTAGCCTATGGAGCAACCCTCGAAACACTTGGATATGGGTCATTGAAACTGCTTTTGGGTTTCTGGCCTTTTCCAGAACTGAAATAGAACAGATTTCTGTCTCACTTTATTTGTTATTGTTTTCGTTTTGAGATAGAACCTCAACTCCGTAGCTCAAACCAGCCTGGAACTCATCCTCTAGCCCTGACTGACCTGAAATTGTCAGAGTTTCTCCTGCTTCAAGCCTGTCTTGAGACGACAGTATGAGTCACCTCACCAGGCTCAAGTTTCTGTTTGAAATAAAAAGTTTGTGGCAGTTTATTTCAACAGCCATGAAAAAGCAAATACACCAAGGCAAAATACTAGTAGTACCCCCTCCCTTTTAAGAAATAAACGAGCATAGATGTGGGACTCACCCAACCTGTAAGGCAGAGCAGAGACATTGCTTCCTCTAGGGAACTCTGCCCTTTCTACCATGTAGCAAGGACCTCTGGTGTCCATCACTTGAAGCAGAAGCAGGGCCAGATTTACGTCACCTTGACTGATGTTAAAGCGTTTTTCACTGTATTACTTTCCACTTGCAGCAACTCCCATGTGTAGCTTTCTGCCTCCAAATTACTACATGTTAATGAGCTCTTTGGGGCACTCACAGCAGAATTTTCCATGGCCACAACCTCAGCTTTCTTATCTTTAAAATAGAGATGGTTATATGTATTTTAGAGAATTAATGTAAGGGTTAGAAATGATTCTCTTCATTAACTAGCACAGACTTTATGTCATTGATCCTGTAAATAGGGCAACTATCATCATTTTTATCTTTCCTCATCAACTGCCTTTTCTCAGAATATCTAAGACACATTTTTTTCCATCTGTCACCTCTCCCCAATAATACATCATGCTTTTTCTCATTACATATAGTCACTTTGTGACTGAAACACCTGTTAGAAGATTGTAGAGAAGTAAACAAAACTAGGACATGAATGCTCATCACAAATGACATTAGCCAACTGATAGAAAAGATAATTAGGAAAAAAACAAGTAATACATCACAAAATACAAATAACTGTCATTGGTTTGTCTAGGTTTAGGGCCAACCTGAAAGCTGCAGTGAAAGCACTAACCTAAAGAGCATATTTTCAGGCATATATACATGGTGGAGCTATAAGATAAAAGAAAAGCCTATAGCAACAAGTGCAAACCAGTTAGTTCTGAGTGTGGTGGAAAGAGTGAAGCCTGGGAAGGTGAGTATTAGTGTTCCTACAGAGAAAGAACATGATGAGCAGATAGAGGCAGAAAAGACAGACATAGTAAAGGCGTGGCCCACAAAAATCAGGAGGCTGAGAAGTTCTACAATCTGTTGTCTATAGACTGGACACCCAGAAAAGTCAATAAACTGGCTTGAAGGTCTGAAAACAAAGCACCTCTCTGAGTGTCTGAGGCCCTCATCTGAGTGTCTGAGGCCCAGGAACACTGAGGTTGGGAAAAGATCGATGTCGTAACTCAGTCTCAAAGAGAATGATTTCCCACTTGCTCCATCTTGGTGAACTGAATGGTGCCCACTTATGTTAGATGGAGTATCTTCTTCACTTAGTTCACCAACTCAAACGCTTAACTCAGAAGCACACAACTAAGTATTTGGCCAGTTATCTAGGGATCTTTGAACTCGGGTATGTGACCATATAATTTACTCTTGGACTGGAGAGATGGCTCAGCCATTAAAGGCTGGATTCACAGCTCATTAGAGGCCTAAAAGCACAGCTTTGTTTTCCCTGATTATGCTATCATAGGTCTATTTTTAAAACTTAAAGGTGAATATGGGAAATAAAGGTTATAAATAATGGTATTTGGAGAGGGATAACCCTTGATATTTTGTTTTTAAGGTTTGTTTTCCTACAAAGGGTTATTTACAAGTTTCAGCCCAATTTAAATCAATTTTCTATCAATTCTGGATTTTAGGTTGTATTTATAAAAGTCTTCACACAATTTTTTTAATCACCTCTTCCTCTATGAGTACACCAGTAGAATTCTTTTCCAGTGAAATCTCAGATCTTTTTTGAAATTTGTTTTGGTTTTTGGAGTCAGTGAACAAGCCAGTTTTCTTTTTAAATAGAAATGCCAATCTAACTTATTAAAAAGCTTCTTTTCACCCTCCAGTTTGTAATATTGTATATTAAATTTCCACATACATTTCGATCTACTGCCAAAGTGTCTGCTTCAATGCCAGTACCAAGCTATTTTAATGATTATGGTGTCATTTTCCAAATCCCTCCTGGAAGCCAATTCCAAAGGCCCAAGAAACACATTGTCATTTAGTTACACCAATGACCCTACTTCTCTAGTTACTTTTCACATTTCTGTGACCAAAAAATGCCCAACAGAAACAATTCAAGGGAGAAAGATTTAGTTTTGGCATGCTTTCAGAGGGTTCAGCCCATCATGGTAAGCAAGGCATGGAGAGGAGGTTCAGCTCATGTCATGGAAAGCCAGGAAGCAGGGAGAGAAATGCGGGCGCCCTCTTAGCACTCTCCCTTCACTCTTTCCCTCCAGCCAGGTCTCTAGCCCATAGGATGGTGCCACCCACAGACAAAACAGATCTTTCCCTCTCTAGTGGGCCTTCACAAGCACAGCCAGAGGTGTGCCTCGCCGTCTCCTAGTCACACTGGCAGTGATGATAACATTCATAAGCATGCTTCTCTTTCATGTGAAACTCCACTCTTGGAATTATTCTAAAGAAACAAACTGGCTGGGCAGTAGTGGCACGCGCCTTTAGTCCCAGCACTTGGGAAGCAAAGGCAGATGGATCTCAGTGAGTTTGAGGTCAGCCTGGTCTACAGAGCGAGTTCCAGGACAACCACGATAGTCCCACAGAGAAACCCTGTCTCAAAAAAAAATTATAATTTCTTTGTAATGTAGGGGGGAAAAGCTGAAACATCGAACAACATGGTTTGGTTTAAGTATTTCAGTACAACATTAATGAAAACATCAAAAATAATGTAGAAGACCAGGGATTCAGCTCAGTGGTAGAGTTCTTGCCTAGCACACATCACATCTTTGTCTTGATGCCCAACACCCCAAGGTAAAATATAAGTAAAAACAATGTTGACACTTATGATGGTGAGTATTAACTGTCAACTTGACAGACTCTGGGCCCCAGAACGTGCCTATGAGGGGTTATTGATTGTGACATGGAAAGACCCGTCAATTGTGGATGGCACTATTTCCTGAGCAGGGGATTCTGGACTGTATAAAGTGGGGAGAAACAAGATGAGCGCTGCATTCTGCCCTCTCTAGTTCTTTTTTTTTAAAGATGTATTTATTACATGTTCTGTCTGCATGTGTGCCTGCACACCAGAAGAAGGCACCAGGTCCCATTATAGATGGTTGTGAACCACCATATAGTTGCTAGGGATTGAACTCAGGACCTCTGGAAGAGCAGCCAATACTCTTAACCTCTGAGCCATCTCTCCAGGCTCCCTCTCTAGTTCTTGATTAGAGATTGGATATGACCAGCTGCTCAAAGCTCTTGCTAACTTGACTTCCTGTCTTCGATGGACCTTGAACAGTAAACTAAAATGTACATATTTTAGCACAGCAACAATGGAAAAAACTAAGATAACTGTCTGCTTATGATACACACACACACACACACACACACACACACACACACAGAGTGTAGGTATAGTACTGTGAGTTTTTTTTTTTTAGAGAGAGAGAGAGGATCACTCTATGTAGCCCTGGCTGTCCTGGAACTTGATATGATAGAACAGATGGCATGGAGCTCATAGAGATCCACCTGCCTCTGCCTCCCAAATGCTAAGATCAAAATCATTTACCAACACACCCCAGTGAATGCTGTGAAATTTTTAACACTTGGAAAACTCTTCAACGAATAGTAAAAAAGCAAAATTATTGAAGATTATACTTAAATGATTAATTTTATCTAAATTTATGAATATGTGAATATTAATAAAACAGACTAGTGCATTATATACACCTAAGTGTTATTAATAGCTATCTCTAGATGGCACAATTGTTTTCATATATATATCTTAATTAATAGTTATTGCTTTTTCTAGGAGGAAAAATGTCATGAAACATGACATAATCATGCTTATTTTTCCCATGCCTAATCACTGGTAGACAGTCTAGCTCTCTCGTCACCTCACAGGGTCAGGGACTGATTGGTTTTGCCTGCCAGTGCTGTA